TGGTGGTGGTGGTGGTGGTGGAGGGGTTTTTGGGGAGGGGGAGGGGAGAGTTGGGGTGGGGGTGGGGGGAGGGAGGGTGATATGATGATGGATGATGCGATGATGCGATGATGCTGATTTTTTTGTTTGTTTTTTTCTTCACGCTCCTGGTCGCAACTCTGGTCGCTCTCGTCACATCACCCTACCTCTCATTCACCTCACCTCACCTCACCTCACCTCACCTCACCTCACCTCACCTCACCTCAACTCAAACTCAAACTCAAACTCAATCAGGTACTCATGGCAAACCCGAGTCCTCGAAGTCCGCCTGGACAGGCTACCCCCCGAGCTAGGATTAGGAGTCGGAGAACCGCCGGGGGTGGGGAGTGCAGGGTATGCGACGCCGGTGATGGGTGTGGGTGTGGGTGTGGGTGTTAGCATGACGGCCGCAGGACTTGGAGGCGTTGGGATTGGAGGCGTTGGGATGGGATCGGCTGGGGTGAGTGGACTTGGGGCAGGAGGTGGAGGTGGAATGGGCGTGGGCGTTGGAGGCCGACCGCAGAATATGACATATGGCTCCGGAGTCGGGCTCGGAAATCTCACCGGGACGTCGAACACGACCACGACTACGACTACATCAGGAGGGGTAGGAAACGTGGGTTTATCTGGTATGCCATTAAGTCCGAATCCGTCGCTTTTGAATAGTGCCGGTGGTGGTGGTGGTGGGGTGGGGATAGGTGGTGGGTTAGCGCAGGACGAGGCGGGACTCGATTTTAGGACGTTGTCGCCTTATGCGGCGGGGATGGATGGGAGGCCGGGGACGGCGGGGAGTTCAGGAGGAGGAGGGGGGGTTAGTAGGAATTTGTTTGTGGGGAATGTGAGTCGCCTTCTCTCTCTCTCTTTTTCCTTGCCTTGCCTTGCCTTTCTTCCCATGTTCCACTTCTTTTTCTATGTCCGGCGGTTCGTCGTGAAATCTAAATCTCGGCCTCGGAGCTCATTCGTTTTCATCTCTTCGTTCACCCGCTCACTCGCTCACTCACTCGATTCGTGATTCGTGATCTGGGTATTGTTTATTGATCCTTCCGACGCCCCACCAGCTCCCCTTCCACTGCCAATGGCAAGACCTGAAAGACCTCTTCCGCCAAGCGGGCACGATCCTCCGCGCGGACGTGGCATTGGGGCAGGACGGAAGGTCGAGGGGGTTCGGGACGGTCGTGTTTGCGACGGATATGGATGCGGAGAGGGCGGTTAAGATGTTTAATTGGTGAGTCTTTCTTTTTTCTATTGCTCCCACTTGTGTGAGAGAGAGAGAGGGAGAGAGAGGGAGGGAGATTGGGGTGGTTTGGAGTGTTTGGAGTGTTTGGATGTTTGTTGAGTTTGGGAGTCTTGGTTTGGATGTTTGGAGAGTTTGGGAGTCGTGTGCTCATCTTTATGCCCTCATGTGCCACAGTTACGAATACAACGGCCGGCCGCTAAAAGTGCACTACGATAAATACTCCCCCTCGACACAGCCCTCCGCCCCGGTCTCGCCCATGCCGCACTCCTCGTTCTCATCGCCGTTCGCACATGGATCTGGATCCCCGTTCGGCTCGGTCTTGTCGCAGCATCAGCAGTTGCAGCAGCAGTTGCAGCAGGTTCAGTCCGGCCAGGGTCAACCAGGACTGATGCAGGGCCAAGGTCAAGCGGGAATGGGCCAAGGACAAGGGCAGGGACAGCAGGGATTAGGGCAGAGCGCACCGAGCCATATCCCGATGCCGATGGCATCGTTCCCCCAGCAGTGGAATCCGTACGATTTCGGGTATGGACCAGGGTCGGGGCCTGGCAGTCCTTATGAGGTGTATCCGCCGCATATTCAGCAGATGTATGCGATTCAGGCGCAGGCGCAGGTTCAACAAGCGCAACAACAGCAACAGCAACAACAACAACAACAGCAAGAACAACAGCAGCAGCAGCTTCAGCAGGAGGAGTTGTCGAGGTTGGCGCAGTACGCGTCTGCTGCTGGAGGGAGTGCGGAGAAGGAGCGGTTGCCGTTGGGTGTGGGAGAGTTGCCTACGCCGCCTTCGAGTGAGGGGGTCGGAGCGACGGGGAATACGCCACCGCCACCCGCACCACCGCCGCCTGTTCACTCCCTGTCGTTTCCGGGAAAGAAGGAAGAGCAATCTTCGAGGCCGGCGGCGCAGCAGCATTCGAGCGCGCCTCTGCTCGGGAAGGCTACGTCCGCTGATATCGTGAAGGGGATGTCGAACTCGGGCTCAGGGTCGGGGTCATCGACTTCACCGACTCAGCATCAAAACTCGTCAGGTTCGCATCATCCCGCTCATCCAGGCCGTATACCTCTCCCCCCTCCCCCAGCCGTCTCAGGCTTCCCGATCCCACCACCACACACGATGTCCCCCCACGCCCATGCCCACATGTCGCCCATGATGCACCACCCCCACTATCCCTACGCGCTCCCCATGCCCGTCTCCCCCGGCGGAGTCATGCCCTCACCCTTGCACCATCCACACATGATCCCCTCGCCGCTGCATCACCCCGCCGTGCACGGATCGCCGTATGCCTCACCGATGCATCATCCCGCCATGTCAATGTATCCCATGCATTCGCCCATCCACCATCCCGCTGCCGCCGCGTACGCTATGGCCATGACGCCGCACGGCTTACCCCCCATCACGCCGAGCATGCCACCGTTCCAGTTCGTGCATCATCCAGGCATGACGTCGTCTGGCTCTGTGGCGGGGATGGGAGGAGGAGGTATGCCGGGGACGCCGGGTGCGCCTTTGGGTGGGGGTGGTGGAGGAAATGGGGGTGGTGGTGGTGGTGGTGGGGCGATGGGAGGATATCAGGGGATGATGATGAGTGCGATGTTTTCGCCGGGGGTTACGATGAGTCCGGGAGGGTTCTATGGGAGACCGATCAATGCGGCTGTGGGTGCGCCTGTTGGTGCCGGGAAAGCGAACGCCAACAATGTCAATGCGAACTCAAACACCAACTCCAACTCGAATCCTAACTCTGACAACAGCCGTGGCGCTACGAGTGAAGCCACAGGAGGTGCAGGATCAGGAGAGGTGGCGGATTATTTCCCGCCGGTGCAGTACTTGCAACAGACGGAAGCGGAGTATTTCCCGGTGTTGCCGCCTGGGCCTGGCGGGAGTCGGTTGGCGAACGAGATATTGAGAGGGGCGGCGAGCGCGGGGCCAGCGAGTAACGAGTCGCAGAGTCCGGTGGCGAATTTGAACTCGAATGGGAGCTCGAATAATGCGTATGGTGCCGGGACTGGAGATGGCGATGGGAATGGGGTGAATGGGATCACGGACAGGATGGGAGGATTTACGTTGAGTTCGGCACCGGGCTCGGCGGGGTCGAGTGTCCTGGGGAGTGGAAGCGTCGCGACGAGGGAAGACGACGTGTTTTGGGTGGGGGGCTCGGGGACAGGGACGGCGACGGCGACGGCGACGGGACATGTGCCGGCGTATAGGCAGGCGAGTCTGTCGCAGGTGAGTAGCGCGGCGAAGGAGGCAGGACTGCATAGGACGGGGTCGGACCCGACGCAGAAGCATCCGTTTGCGGGGAGTGGAGAGGCGGCGAGGCCGACGACGAGTGGTGGGGTGGGGTCGGTTTGGGGGGCGGGGGTGGGACAGGGGCATGAGTTGGGCGGGGGGTGGGCAGCGGGGCCGGGGAGAGGAGGGCGAGTTTTGCGGAGGTGGTGGATGGGAGTGCGGCGGGGAGGAGAGGGTCGGCGGCTGGGTGGAGGATGTAAATGATATTTCTAGGTTTGGGTCGATCCTTGGGCGTTATAGATCGGTGGATGGCCATCCCTTCTCTTCTCTTTCTATTTTCCATTTCCTATCGTTTCTGTCCCTCATAATCTTATCGCTCCTCTCGCTTTCGACTGGTCTCGAGATCTTGGTTGGTCGTGTCTCTATTCCCCCTTTACCTTCTTACTTATTATCTCTCCTCGGCTGGTTCTGGTTCTCGGTCCCGATTCTTCTGCGTGCGGACTCTTGACTCTTCCTGTTGTCCTCGTCCTCGGTTTAGGTTTTTTTATCAGTGACCGTTTCATACCTCGATTCTGCATATCCATTTCCCCGTTCTCATCTACATGCAATTCCCTTTCTATTCTCTCAGCCTTTGGATCTTCAGTTTCGCTCTTCTCTCACAACCTAGCTGGCGGCATTTGTCATGCAATGTTCGGGTGTGGCGTATCACTCTGAATACCTTGTTTTGTCTTCCCAATCCCCTCCCACTCTGTTTTCTTTCCCTTTTTCGTATTGATTTGATTTGATTTGATCTGTCTTTCTCTGTCTCTAGTTCGCCTTACTTATTAGCCTAGCTCAACAATGATCATCTGTATCGAATGCAATCTAAATGCTCTATCTCTTCTCCGCTGTCATGGTTCGAGACTGTTTTCTACTCGCTTGTGGACCTCCAAGCGGGTAGGTGGTATCTCAACTCCAAAAACGAGTCATTTGGACAGAGCCCCACAAGCAGAGCAATCGGCTGGCGCGAGCCTCAGTGATCACTGGTAATTGTATGTATCAGAAGCCGCTACTGGCTCTGCATGTATTTTTTTTGTGGAACTCCACCGTAGCCAACTGGCGAAGCCTCGTGTACTTTATGCACTTGATAAGCGCTGCATAAGCAAAGGCCGCTCTGAGCTGAGCCCTAGTCCTCACCCTCATCTTGATCCTCATCTTCCCCATTTCCATCCTCATCCTCATCTTGATCCCCAACCTCTTCCTCATCCCATCCCTCCTCCCACGCACAACGCGCCTCCCCATCCCACTCCACACACCCGTCCCCTCCAATCAACTTCCCCTCCTCAATTTTCCTCACCCACCCCTCCGGAACCCCTCCAACCACCTCCAATCGCTTAATTCGAGACCGACTCATATCCCGCCCATCGCCCTCGGTCCGCAGCCGCGCCCTCTTCTTCAACATGTCCGCCACCGAGCGCATGATCGACGGTATGACCGTCGACGCGTCGTATGTCTCCTCTACGTCCGTGTCTTTGGTCCAGTCGACGTTGACCAGTGCCAGTGTTTCGAGTTTCGGAAAGACAGCGAAAGTCTGAGGGTGAGGAGAGGGCGCTGAATCTTCGTTGGCGTTAGGGTCTTTCGTACGAGTGAGCTTGAGGTAGTCGCACATCCAGTCTATCGGATGCGTGCCCTCGAGTCGTAACGTTTTCACGTTCTCACACCGCAGAAAGCCCGTCAATCTCGACCGTAACTTCGCGTCCAAGTTCGCGGGCTTCACAGGCTCCGACTCGTCCGCGTCGGTCTCGGTCTGAGAGTCGTCGTCGTCGACGTCATCATAGGGATCCTTCAAAGGCATATTACTGCGTATATGGATCTCCTCGACAGACTCAGCAAGCAGCGCGTCTGTGATTTTCGAAAGTTCGCCTGGGAAATAAAAGCATCCATCCTGCCACTCCCAAGAATCGGATTGCTGCTCGATGGTAAGCACGGGTACAGCGCTAGCCTTCGTGTCAAAGGCTGCTCCTCGTCGGACTGCTGGTATTCTTGCGCTGTTGGAGGATTCGAGGGAAGTGCGAGGAAGTTCGGGAGGGGTGGCGAGGACTATTGTGCGGATCGATCGAACTTCGGGGTCGAAGGAGTCGGAAACAGCATCGTCGAACTTGGTGGTCAACGAGAACTTGACCTGATAGTTCAACGCATTTGTGTCGTACTGGACTCGGGCCTCTAGTATAGATGAAACGACGGCGTCGAGAGCCGCCGTCGCTTCCTCTTCTTCGTCGCGTGAAGCGCGTAGTTCAGTGAATGTGAGTTGGTAGTACGTCGTTGGTGGTAGTGACAGACAGCGAGAAATATAGACGAAGGCGGGCGAAATCCCAAAGAAACTGAGGCACTGTAAGAGTGGGAGAGAGATGGCCTGTGTGGTATGGGTTGGGTTGAAACGGTTGAAACGGTGTGACTGGTCGACGATGTGAAGGCGGAGCAGGTTGGGCATGTGTTTTAGAGTGTTGTAGAACCACTCAACACCAGCGGCCGTCTCGAAAAGCCAATCGAACTCGAGGGAAAGTTGTGTGACGCCATCCAGGATAGAATGTCGGGGGAAAGACACCAATAGCCTGACCAATGTAAGAGAGGATAACGACGGTTGAGGATTAGGCACCTCGATGTCGACCGACTCAACTGATTCGCTCTCCAACTCAAGAGCTTCCAGGCGAGGTGCATCTTCGGAGGAAAACAGTCGGATGAGTGTACGTTCCATTTCCTCCGCGCTACACTGATGAAAAACGAGCCCTAGTTGGCGTAAACGAAGGAGGTTATCAAATACGAGTTTCTTGTTCGAATTCCTTTCGGACTTCATGTCTTTCCCGATACGGAGCTTCCTAAGACATATTAGCGCGTTCCGAGAGTGCTCGAGCATGAAGACTCTGAGGCTTCTGATTTTTGTATCGATATTCGTCCAAAGCAATGGGCAGGACAGCGCGACGTGGCGCCACTGCCGACATACTCGGAGGATGCGGAGCCAGGTAAGGTCTTGCTTGTTACTATTGGAAGTAGTGCCGTGGCCACAGAACCAGTCGAGATCGTGAGTACTGCTGTAGTACTCTTGTGTGCTTCTAATATGAGGAGGTGGTCGTGCGTGATACAGGAAAATCTGAGAAAGGATTTCCGGAGGTAAACGCGTCACGGGAGACGCGTTTTGCGGTGGGAGTTCATGCTGACGGGTAGTCGGATGATCTATATAGCAGAGCAGAGTTCATGAAAGATTGGTTTGTTTCGGAATAAGCGGAAATTTGGGCATTGTCAATGAGCTAAGTGCTTACTTCGGCGTTTCTTTGCCATTTGGGCGTTTTTTGGAGACTACGAGCTGGCTCTATCTCCAACAATGATATAAGTCACTAAGTCCTACTGTAGTGTATATATCAAGAGCACCGCTAAGATATTTGTCGTTCAGATCGAGAGGACCAAGAGAAACTATGGTTACGGAGATCGTTGAACTTGTCACCGTGGCGTCTGCATGTGGTTCGAGGTTCAGCCACAGACGCGTTTTCTCCGCAACTCCGCCAAAGCTCCGCACTCTCGCTACACCGCCGGGCGTGCTAATCCTCGGCACGGCCCCCATCCGAAATACCCCGGGATAGGGACGCTGCGACCATGTGCGATCCCGGCACCGATACCATAACGAGGATTTTCGAAATTGATGTTCCAGGCTTGTCCGGCGGCCCGTGCAACAGGGCTTTTCGAAAAGGTTGTCCCAAGGTTGCAACGTCCTCCCCTCTACGTATCCGCTTAGTCAGCCGCTCCCTACCGCCTTCAGAAAGCTCTGACGACTGCATATGCTCAAGTCGCGTTCTCCTTGGGTAGCTCATCCTTCCCCGCCTCACTGAGTGTCATATACCACTCATGTAAGTACTATCCATTTAGTAGATGCCTGCTACGTCTTTATTTTGACCATCTGTCCGTCCAGTCCGTCTTCTATACCCTTGGAAAAAACAGCAGCGGATGAACGTATTCAAGGTGTCTCGCTAGTTGTGTACGCCTCTATGGTCTAGTGGTTTCGCTATAGGTTTGTTCTGTGCCCGACCGTGGTTTTAGGCCGCGCGTTCAATTCTTGCCGCGGGCAACCAGCATTTTGGGTGTTTGGCGGCTTGGCGGGAACCCTCGCAGTGCCCCATGGACAACCTTGGTACAACCTTGGCCGGCAACATCGGATCTGGGTCCGTCCGAAAAACCCCGGAACAGTATCGTGTCTGGCCTGTGACAACGTGCCGCCCGGCCGACCCTGTTACAAGGCTTCCGCCCTCCGGCGGTGTAGTCGTGACTTGCTTTCGGACAGCACATCGTGGAAAGGCTAGCTCCTTGGAAGAGGTGTTCCTACTTGACGACTGACCTTCTATACAATCTGTGGATTCCATTTTCCTCCACTATTGTCTTCAGTATCTGCGGCTCATAACTGTGCATCACTCGACTCCGAGTCTTTGCATCAATCTTCGAAGGGCTTGCATCCACCCAGAGACGTCCTTACTATGGCGAAGAAAATTCGTGGTACAACGTTCTCTTTTTGAATGCTACGGTATTGAATCATGTGAATAAACTCCCTCTATCCTTGATTAGGACGTCCCACCCGCCAACACGAAGTCATACCGCAGAACGCGTCTCCTGTGACGCGTCTATCTCCAGAGATCCTCTCGGAGATTTTCCTTTACCACGCACGACCAACGCCCGGAGGGCTGTATCAGCGTAACGGAGAGCATGATATCCACTGGTTTTGTGGACACGGCCATACTAGATGGCACGATGAATACGAGGGTCAGAAGAACCGTACCACTTGGCTACGTATCCTGCGCGTATGCCGCCAGTGGCGCCACGTCGCACTCGGTTGTGCATTGCTCTGGACAAACATTGACACCGCAATCAGGAGCCTGAGGCTTTTCATGCTCCAACAATCGAAAGAGTCTCTGATCACCCTCAGGACGATTCGTATCCAAAACGACAAGTCAGAGGGGAACAAGAAGCTCGTTTTCGAAAATCTCCCTCGTCTGCGTTGTCTAGCGCTCCATTTCCATCAGTGCAGTGACGACGACATGACGCGTACGATCTCTCAACTTCTATCACCAGGGTTTGCGTCCCATCTGGTGTCTCTCGAGTTGGCAATCGATATAAGCTCAGCGAACTATCAAAGTCTTTTCGTGCCCCATCCTCCCCCATCCCTGGCATCCCTGACGTTAACCAATCTGATGCTCACCTTCCCCCCGGATTCTACTACTCTCAGCCACATCACCCATCTCTCTCTGAAGTTTGTCCCGCTTGAAGATTGGTTCTACGATACATTAGACCGTCTGCCTCACCTACTTCGTCTCGACATCGCAAACCCCTCAGAAGACGACGAGCCCCCACCCACGTCTCGCACAATCCCAGCCTCACTTACTGAACTTCAACAGTTCAGTTTCCATGGTTTTCCGTCGTCGTATCTTTCCGTAATGCTCCTCCTATCACTCCCTCCAACAACCTACCATTGCCTCACATTCCCTGACTATTGTGGTCCTGACACTATCGAAAGTATCGAGGAAACCTCCTTGTACGGAACGATATCCGCTATACTCAGGAAACGAACTGCTAGCGATAACAACGCTTTCAACTATCGCGTAAAGTTCTCTGTGACTACCAACACGGAGGAGGGCGGCGGCGGCTTCAATCCCAGTGACCCGGAAGCGAGGTCAACTCGTACCATGATCCTCGCAACTCCCCGTCCTTCTTTATCATGCAATGACGCTACCATCACAGCCGCAGAGTGCACGACTGTAGATCCCATTCCCGTGCTCACCGTCGAGCAGCAGTCTCGTAATTGGGAATGGGCATACGGGACCAGCAAGTTCGCCGAGGGCCTTTCGAATTTGACCGAGTCGTTGCCAGTCGATGCTGTCGAGGAACTTCATATACGCAGTAACATGCCCTTGACAATCGATCACGCTGTCAACGACGAATCTGACGCAGAGTCGTCCGCCACCGAGGTCCCGCACTTCCTCACTTTTCCCAATCTACGAACGTTGCATCTCGAAGGTTTGGGTCCACTCGAGTGTGTGCCCGATTTACTGTCCCTCACACGCACTGTCGCCATGGACGTGGAGCCGGGCCAGGGCTCGGACGACGCGGAATCCATGCGCTCTCAGACTTTCACTGCATTTCCCAACCTTGAGAAGTTGGTATTGAGTAAGGTTGACTGGACCAAGGAATCCGAGATTTACACTTTCAGCGCCGAAGAGAGGGTACCGCCCGTTTTGGATTCCGTTGCGTCAGCGTTGAAAGTCAGGGCGCAGAAATACAACGGGAAACACAAACTGAAACACTTGGTGGTCATCGGCGGAGGAATACCGAAGGGGTGGGTGAAGACGGTCAGGGAGGAGAAATGGCTATCAGCAGTTGGCGGTGTAGATTGGGTAGCGCAAGAGCGGTGTGAATGGGACTATGACTGGGATGATGACGAAGAGGGGGAGGACGGGCGCGGCAGGGGTGAGGATAAGGACGAACAAAAGAACGGATAAGCGTGTCTCGAATCGATATTTGGTGGCTTAGCAGAGGGAGCGGGCGTGCACAAAGCTGCTGTGCAATCAGTAGTTGAGGAGGCGGTAGTAGGAGACGAAGTCGGGGCGCAGAAGTAGACAAGGTGGATTTCTTACATGCTTCTATGATACCACCGCGAAGTATACTTGCCAGATGCTCTGCACTCACTCTGTATATAAAGTCCGGAGTGTAGCCATCCGTAACGATACAGGAAATCAGTAAGGAGAGCTTCAAGCTTTGAATAGTGATGGCACGTTCCATGGCTTCGAGAAACGGGTGCCACCCGTTTCGTGACTGGCCATGGGTGAAGGCAAAAGCATGGTAAAGTCCAAGGGGAAGCAAATAAGTGTATAGGGTACCGACTCAAGAGACATACAGTAGAAGCTAGAATGGCAAAGACAACGACAATATCTTCTCCGAAACGACACAAGAGGCAGGACATTCAATATGACGGCGCATGCAATCAAGAACATGCCTGTGGCCCTCCATTGTAAGGGTACGAAGGTTGGGAAGCTTCGCAGTGGTGAATTGTTTAGACGGAAGTAATGCGATGCTGTCATCGGTCAAGTCACGCAGTACACATCCTGTCATTGACAGGGTCTCCAAAAATGGCATGTGTGCCAACGCAGTGACAAGCTGGGCAAGGAAGGGATTTACATCGCTGTCATCTTCTCCCGAGTGGAGCTCGAAGTGCTTGAGATTTTCAAACATGTAGAAGGACGTTGCAGGATACCCAACACGATAGAGTCGGAGAGTCGAAAGAAGAGGCGTGTGGTATGCAAATAATCCATCACAGACAATGTCACTGTCTCCTCTCCAGAACGAGGCATTTGTAAGGCGCAGCGACCTGAGAGCAGGAGCTGGAGTGAACATGAGCTGATCACAAGCGTAATCGATCTCGTCGCAAGTACCCCATAGCTCCAACCGCTCTACCCGGTTCATCATGGGAGGTACAATGGCGTCGAATGTTTCGTACATCCACTCCCTGCAGTCGGCAACGAGGACAGAAATGGCAGCGGTAGGCCCACTCCTTCGAATCATCTCTGCCGCCCATGTCCGTCCAAAGTTGAGGACGATATCTGTCCAGAGGGACCGGGTCGTCACAGCAACTTCTCTCCACAAACGAGATACGTGGGTGATCGAAATCCAGCCCAGATGGATGGGATTTTCGTTATAAAACCCATGTGAGCTCTTGTATATGTATTTGTGAGGGTCGTTCGTGGCGGCATGGATGATGATTTGTCTGAGGATTTCAACGGGAAGTGTGCTGATACCGACCCCGGAACGGTCATTGTTTGGAAAAGATTCGGATGACATCCTAAAGAAGTTTGAGTATATTGTGCGATTGCGGAAGTAGACGATACTTACAGAAGGTAGCGAGGCTCTGATGCGATGTTGCAGTGGCGTCGCAACTGTATGTGACGTGGGAGTGTTTATAACCAGTGCATTCAATATAACATCGTTCAGCCTACTGCTACGTCCGAAAGGGCCTGAGCCCGCGAAAAGAGCGCAGAACCAACGCAGTAGAAAAGTACTCACAGTGAAACAACACAGCTTCCGTTTCAGAGACATTGTGAAGAAATAATGACTCTGCGCCTGGAACAGGTGTGGAGGGAGAGAGGGGCCGCGAAGGGTTGAGCACGGAGTCATAAATATTACGGTTCCGCCGGCAACTTCTTGGAGCGGAACTCGAAACTGTTCGGCAACGGGCAGCCATCCTTCTTTCGCGCGCCACAGAATTACGATCTCACACACAACGACGACAGTCCAAAGGCCACGACGCTCTCCACACACAGAATGCAGCCTTCGGCACGCATCCTATATCGAGAGCTAGATAAGGCTGAGACTCAGACTGGTCTGATGGCAGAGACTCGTACCATGCCCTACTTAGCGAGGCCGCCGCCAGCATTGATGCACGGCAGGTTACTGCAAGTGTTTCTGCAGCCAACTGGACCTGACCGACCGGAAGTCACAAATAGTTGATTGAAATCCAGTAGGAACAGCTTGCTCTCGCATCCGTATGGGCTGCAGAGTATGCATTGCGTATTGGAGTGACCTTCGACACAGTTGTGGCAGAGGTCAATGGTTGGTCTGGTGGTGCAGTGACTTTCGATGGAGGGAGGCTCTTTCATGGGCGTGTTCAAGAGTTTCTGTCGTATCATCGTGGCTCGCAGTTTTCGACTGTGAATCTGTCTAGTATCAGGTAACGATCTCAGCTGGCACCTCTTGGACAGTCGTCGCCAATAATTTTTCATCGTGATTCCCTCCTCGAGAGGATGTTCCTTTCCGCCATGTAGTTCTGTGCATTCCATGTTCCTGGCTACCATACAATCTTATCTTCTTCACATTTCATCCATAAATCCTGCTGCAGTCACAAGCCTTCCGAGTAACGGAGCTCGAAGTCCTACGGCACTTCGCGAGCGAGTATGACCTTCGCACGCCACGCTAACTCCTTCTTTCTCTTCAACGACGATTTGAAGGCTGCGGCGCTCTCCACGTACAGGGACGCTACCACCGGTACGTATCCCTCACTTGTGAGCTGGAACGTCTGGGCACATCTTGTCTCCGTAGACTGGAGATGAGCAAGGTCAGAGGTCAATCTCTTGCATTTCCCCGTTCCCATCGCACCATAACGCCCTGTGCGTCTTCGAGACGCCCTGCAGGCCAGGACTGCATCTGTTCTCCTGCGTATCGCGAACCCGTATGACATTGCGGAGAAATACGGTGTATATTGAACTGCACTTCCGTTGCATGCCTTGGCCAGCATCTATGACATATGGGTTTCGTTCTCCTCGAAAGGGTTCTAGATGTCAGGAGCCCCCTGCAGAGAGCGAACGTCCCGTGGCCGAGGGACTGCAGTGTCGAGTGGTGCAATATGGGTATGGGGTGATGTGTTATTTGATTCTCTGTTCCTGTCGAAGTTCGTGGCTCGCGATAGATTCATCATCGCGAACCCTCCCACCTCGTGTGGTAGGCCCGGACATACCCTCTCGAATCGTCGACAACAATTTTTTCCCATTCTTTATCCTTCGGGAGACATTTTGACTTCGGTCTTATAGAGCTCGGTGAAGACTTGACCTAATTGTACAGGATGCCCGTCCCTCATGTTGATTCTTCCCAGCCTTTACTACGGTCGTGTCCAGCATGTACAACTTCAACTTCGTCAGATTTCGCTTGACGCCACATCATTTCCCCCACCCCGCATCTACTTCCCCATCTCCCCATCTCCCCACCTCCCCATCTCCCCAGCTCCTTCTCCAGCTCCTTCTCCACCTCCACCTCCATACCCGCATGCCTACCACATATTACGCTATACACATCACATTTACGATATATTGTTTCTCATTAATAAGGGCGGCCATCGTATCGAGCGAACAGACCACAGAGTCGTTTGGGTCCAGGGGGTCCTCAAGTCAAGCAGCTCAATGCTCACGAGTCGCTTATTCGGCTCTGTGGTTGACCTGTAAACTGTTCGAAGTGCCCGGAAATTCTATACTATAGCGCAGACGCTCAACCTTTTAGACACACATAGACACAGACTTGACACCCTCTGTACACAGTACGCCATTCACAATCACCAAACAAAAAAAGAGAAAAGCGGGATGGAAGTAAGAAATAAAAGCACGGAGGAAAGGGTCCAAGGAAGCACAAGGAAAATGCAAGTAGGCGTCGAGCAATAGAACAAAAGACATGTCATCGTGCGCCTCCTGGCACTACCCGTCACAGTGGTCGTAGTCGTAGTTCGTAGGCATATTCAGTCGTGCTCACTGTCATACTCAGTAACTCAGTAACTCAGTACCATACCTTTTCAGCTAGCGCAAGGGTGCAAAGAGACATGAGAGGGGATAAGTAGAAAAAAAGAGATTGGAGATTGACAGTGACTTATGTAACACGTAGTATCAACTAGTAACGCACGCGCGCGGCAAACGAAGTTACAGGCTACCGACCGGACTGAGCTGAACCGGACTGGACTGGACGGACAAGAGGACCGGGAATGTGGATCGAAATAAGAGGCGAGACGAGAGAGCGGGAAAGAAAGAGAAAGAAAAAATATAAGACAGAGGCTCGGCAGAGAGGGATAGGGACAGTGAGAGTTGACACGAGATTTGATTGGGGGACCAAACAGGCACACGGAAGGCGTGAGTTAAGGGAACTGATGGACGGAGGGTTTGGGTTTGCGGGGAGCGTGAGTTGACGAAGAGGGCAAAAGGGGAAACACAAAAACGTAGAAATAAAGAAAAGGGGTGAAAGGGGGTGAAAGGGAGGGCGGTCCGTGTAAGTTGAAGCGACGTTGTGTCTGTGGCGGGAGGAGTGGAATCGAAGCGGGGAGGTGAAATGGATGGATGTGTAGAACCATGACCAAGTCGCCCTCTCGCTCGCTAACCACCGACGACCACTATTTGCGAGCACAATCCATCGTCATCATGCGTCGTCCATAAATCCCAGTTTAACCCATCTTGCCATCCTTCTTCTTCTGTTTGCGAGGTGGCGTGACCGGTCGACCCATATTCATGCCGCCGTAGGGGTACTTTGCCTTCTTCTCCGCCGGTTTCAGAATCTGACCACCCACCGACACGATCATGGTCAGTGACACGGTCAGGGTAAGAAAAAGCGAACAGTACGCACCTGGAACGAACACAAAAGTGTCTCATCCACACTCATCATCGCACCCGCGTTATCGAACTCGCCACAATAATTCGGTGCGGAGAATAGTGTCACGAGCTGCCTCTTTGCGAAGAACTCGTAACCGTCCTCGACGACCTGTATCAAACAAAAGAACAAAGGCGGTCAGTATCAGTAATGCGACTTGGAGTACGATAACGACGGTAGAGGATGCGCCCGCAAGTCAGCCCCACTGATAAGGCCAAGGTCAGCGCCGACATGAGCGACCAACCCCACGCCACAGTCCATCCACCCAACGGCGCTCCTCGCCGTCCGGATCACCTATCACTGTCACTATCAAAGTCGCGCCAAAGATAGCCTTTAATCTCAGGCTCGATGACGCACATTCCCATGAGCACCAGATCTGGGCTGCACGCTGCCCTCACATACACCAAATATGGACACCCAATTACCACAATAGGACCGTTATGCCAGGCAGCCAAGAATAGCCACTGTCAAAATCCCGAAACAACAGGCACGCAGCTATAACGGGCCCTGAACGAAGACGATGACGACGATGGCAGGCGATCACCATAAAAAGGAGAGAAATGTCCTGGGCGTTTCCTTTTGCATCCTATGCACTTACACGCGCCCACCGAGAATAGTGAGCTCAGACTAAGAGCCCCACCAGCATCATGCATGACCATCGAACCATCGAACCATCCAGATGCAAAATGCGCCGTCGGCGAGCAACCAGGCTCATACACAATGGGAACATTCTCCCAAAATTCAGCCTCACAACTCACGACGGGTGGACAACTCGACGTCGATAGCGGGAGAAAGAAGAGGGGCAGGAAAAAATGAGAAGAAGAACAGAAACGCACCTGATGGGCTCGACATATAAGGTCCATATCATGCTTCTGCAAAAACCTCGAGACGACGTCCGGGCCGAAGGTGAACGACACTCCTCTATCGTTCTCTGACCAGCCGGTGATATCCTTGTCCGGGTCTGACCAGAGCAGATCGCACAGAAGACCTACACGCCACAGGACCGATCAACCAACCCAGCAACAAGCACAGAACAACAGTCAGCATCACAGCATAAACAACACAACCACGGCGAACAGGACACCGCGACCAACGAAGGCAAAGGCGTGCGGGGAGGATAGAAGAGGGCAGAAAGAGTAGAAGGATGCACGCACCAGTGTCCGGCACGTCCGTGGGCCGCATCACCCTCCTTATTTGCTCCATCGACTGCAAGTCCGGACTGAGCCCTCCGTGCATTGTGAAGATCTTCTCATCGATGATCGCGGCGATGGGCAAGCAGTTGAAGCAGTCCGTGAACGTCTTCCATAGCTTGATGTTATACCGCCGCTTGCCTGTTTTTGTTGGAGGACACCCGTCGACGAGGCCACGAATTCGTGCATTCGATCGTATCCGGTCCAAACCAACGATTCATCCATCCATCAATGGCGACCAGCCAGATTTGTACCCGTCGACGTAGACGAAACGCCAAGACGCCACCATGGAAACAGATCGCGCCACCCGCACACGACAACCACCAAAACCAAAGAAAAATGACGATCAGCAGACGAACCAGCGAAAAGAAACGCAATAGGGCGAAGGGAGCCGCACAGAAATCTCCACCACAGAAAAAAGACAACAAGAAGAAAAAAGGATGAAAAGGGGAAGAAAAAGGAAGACCACGCACACTCATCGTAAAACCCGTAAATTCGGTTGATACTCGCGCACTCGTGGTTCCCTCTGAGGATGAAGAAGTTTTCGGGGTACTTGATCTTGTAGGCGAGCAAGAGACAGATGGTCTCGAGGGACTGCTTGCCGCGATCGACGTAATCGCCGAGGAAGAGGTAGTTTGCTTCTGGCGGGAAACCGCCGTACTCGAACAGTCGGAGAAGGTCGTAGTACTGGCCGTGGATGTCACCTATAGTATCACGGACGCGGACGACGCAAACGCGGATAAAAAAGACGGTCGGAATGGACGGTGAGAATGGGGAAAAAAATAAATTGGAAGAGGAGGTGGACGGACCGCAGATCTTTATAGGTGCTTCGAGTTCGAGAAGGATGGGTTGGTTGATAAAGATTTCGCGGGCTCTGGTGCACAGGTACTTGATCTCGTACTCCTGTAGTTGAACGGGCTTCCCTGGCCGGTTACCGCGCACTAGACGATACGACGAAAACGGACGGCGTTAGCGAGAGATAGAGGAATGGTGGAAGACGGGCAGACGACGTCGGCGTGGAGTGATGGGGGTTTCGCGGGTGGCTGTACAGCTGAGGAACGGTATCCTAGCGCCGTTCTGCACGTCCGATAACGCGCAGGAGTGTGCGGGTATCGTCGTATGCGCCTGCGCCTGCGTACGTGCTCGCGTTGCGGATGGCGGAGTCATTTGACAGGGTGGAGCGACCTCGGCCGATAAAGGGCGCCCAAAGGCCACCTCAGCTCTCAACGACGGTCGCGACGGCGCAGAGACAGCGAAGAACGAAGACGAAAACGACAAAAAATCGGGAAAAAAGCGAAGATTGGGGACCGGAAGGGGGTTCAAGACGCGCGGAGAGACAGCTCACCCTCCAAGAGACGGTCGATGACCGAATCCAAGTCTATCTCTGTCGCCGAGTCTGCCATCCGTCTGTGCTGTCTGTGCTGTGTGTCTGTGTCGAGTGGGACGGCTGTGGGGGGACGTGCGTGTTGGTGTGGAGGTAGTGGATGCGCTTGGTGAGAAGAGTCGCGCCTGTTGTCGTTTCGGTCGGCTCGCTCGCTGGTCGTTCCAAACGGGAAGGTCGGCCTCGCTCGTCTGCGGGTGCGCCGATTTTTGTTCGATGGTCTTCGTCGGTTGTCAGTCCTCTGCGTGTTCTGCTGTCCGTGCGTCTGAGTCGTGGCCGGCTGCCAGAACCGAAGAAAAAAGGTCTGAAAAGGGCTCTAGTCGTCCAAGACAAAAATCGATAGCAGACGCTCTTCGGCCCACACTACCTACCCGTCTTCGCCCAAAACGGAAGGTCCCAAGTTCGGGCCAGATCGTGGGACATCACGTCAACCACCCCATTCGTTCATCCTTCTCAGCTCCAGCCGCTGCGGTCTCCACCGCGGGCACGGAAAAATACAGCGATACATGTAGCAGGTAGATAATACGGTACTGTACTGTAAAATACTTTTAAATCAACGCCTACGCCACCACATCCACCTCCATCCTCGCCCCCGCCGCCTCCTTCGCCTTTGACTGATCAATAAGATACCTCAGCGTCGCCGTATTCTCCTCACACAACCCCGCGACCGCACCCTCAAACTCGCCCACAGCCCGTCTCACTTCCCTGAGTACACTCGCCATCTCCACCCCATGCTCCCTAACCCACCTTCCATGTGCCCCCAACACCTCCCTCACCCACCTCAACCCCCATTCTAATCTCGGACCTCCCTCCAGACCTTCCACCGCCACTCCCAACAACCTCCCAACATACACCCGCGGCATCTCCCTCGAAACGAGTCTGATATCCTCATACGGCACCGCCTCATACACTTTCCTCACCAAGCCCTTCTCATTCAGCCTAAACGCCATGACCAACGCCTGCAGGTACTCCCTCCTCTCGACCGTCTCCACCACCGCCTCCGGCGTCAAATCCATGCTCAAATCAAAAGGATCAAAAGCGATCGCATCGTCCAACGAATAAACGAGCAGTCCCTCCGTCGACGCAGCTGCCCACGCCCTCCCCGTCGGCGAAAACCTCACACACTTCGTCCTCGCCTCCTGCCTATACCTCCTTTTGCTCAAATCGCCCCTCTGCGCCCCAGGCAAGCTCGTATCCATCCTATCCTCCAAATCCGACTCCTCTCCCCTTCCATCGATCAGATCCGTATTCACCCCCGCATCGTTCACCTTCCTCGAATCCAAAAACTCCTCCGTCCCGTCCAGACTGAGGTTCTCCGAGATCTGCCACCGCTTGAGGAGCACGCCTTCCCTCGCGTCGTACAGGACGACGTACTTCGAGTTCCCGCCCGCGAGGACACACGACCCGTCCGCCGAATACGCAACGCTATTGAACGCCTTCCCGGAGCTCGAATTCGTCGCCGCCATCCTATCGTCCGCCTTCCTCCCCCCCGCCACATCCTTCCTCCCCTCAATCACATTCGTCTGCTGCGAGATGTTCGTCGAAAAGAACGTGAGCTGTCCGTCCAGCGTCGTCACCACCAGTTCCTGCCCATCCGGCCTGAACGCGAGCGCGAGCACGTCCGCACTAAGCTGGAACGGCTCCACCGCATTCGAACGGCCGAACACGTTCCACACCCTCACCGTCTTATCCCACGAGCCGCTCGCCAGCACGTTCGTCGTCGGCGAGAACGCGAGCGTCGAGACGGGTCCCTCGTGCCCCGATAACACGTCCAACAGCTTCCCGGTCTGCACGCTCCACAGGAACACCTCGAACGAGTCCGCAGAGCCGGCCGCGACGACTTCTCCGCTCGGATCGACGGCGAGACACGAGAACTGGACCGGGTTCGGCGAGGTGAAGGTCCTGAAGTTCCGATACCGCACGAGGTCGAACGCGCGCACCGTCCCGTCCAACGAGGCGGAAAACAGCACCTGTCCCTGCGCGGCGAACTGGACCGCCGATACCGCCGCGGTATGTTGCGCGAAGGTGATAACGCAGAACCCGCTGCCGGTGTCCCAGAGCTTGACTTTCCCGTCATCTCCCCCAGTCGCGACGAACCTCCCGTCCCTCTCCCACGCCACGGCGTTCATGTCGAAATAATGCCCCTGCTGCTTCAATACGTAGCTCTCGCTCATCCATTCCCAGACGAGGAGCTGCCCGAGCTTGCGCGCACCAAAGGCGAGCCATTCGCCCGACGCGTTCACCGCGACGGACGAGATTTTTTCTTGAGAGATGGAGAGGGTGTGGATGTTGGAGAAGGCGGGCATTTCGTACAGGCCGAAGAGGCCGGAGGAGAAACCGATGATGAGCAGCGAGGAGGCGTGGTGGAAGGTGCTGCTGGTGACTTTTGTGTGTGGGAGGTTGAAGTAGTTGCGTTTGGCGATGCCCCAGCGTGTCTCGGCTATCGTATTCGATGGAGTGGTGGAAGTAGACGCTACGGGCGCATCGTTCATGTCTGAGTCTGACTCGGAGTCGGACGGGCCTTCGGAGGGTTTGGCGTTCCAGGTAAAGACAGCACCGTCGCGACTGACGGTATAGATCTATACAAGGCAGGATAAATATTAAGCGTGACAAAGCCACCTAACGAGAGGTTAAACACACCGTCTTCGAGTCGCTGGAAAAGTAAGCGGCCACGACTGCCTCCTTGTGGCCAGCGAACGTCTTCGGCCTGAACCCTTCAACAGGATGTAGCGTGAAAAGCCTGGCCGTCATATCCCTACTCGTCGTAATGAAACATCTACACAACCAGAACCCGCCTCCATTCAGCACCGACAAACTCCCATAGTAAAATTCTAGGAGTAAAAAGAAACGCACTTTGAATCCGCACTCCACTCAATACTCAAAACCTCATCATGATGCCCCGTATACGTCCTATGCAGCACAAACGGCGCAAACTCGCGTACTAGATGATTCGGCGTGTTCCACACCTGAACGTGCGCGCCGTGTGTGACGGCGATGAATTTCCCGTCGGGGGAGAATTTGATGTCTTTGACGGGTTTTTTGAAGCTGAAGTGATGCAGGACGACTCCGCGGCGGAAATTGACGAGGAGAGCGCGGCCGTCTGAGGTGAGGCAAATGGATCGGAAGCAAGGAGGGAGGGTAAGTGTCAATGTTGTCAGTGTTCTGGTAGAAGAGGGAGAAAGAGAGACGAACGCACCTTCGTCCACGCTGATGAGTACTTTCGCATCGGGGCTGAGAGCAATAACCGCTATGTTCTTCCGGTTTTCAAAGGCGAAAGTAGACGACTTGTTGCTATATCATCGATTACAAACTTCAGGCAACATTTATGACACGAAAACAAAGAGCGACGCACTTGACCAAATCAAAAACCGAGACCCTGTTCCCCACAGGGCTCAAAACTGAGTTCCCATCCGGCGTGAATACAACGTTGCCTTGGCGGTAGACCGTCCCGCAGAGGTTGGAGAACTATTGGGGGCTGCTTCGATACATGAATCGACAGCATAGATGGGTTTGAATTGATCATACCTGGTAATTGGCCTTCATGACGGTGAGGTCAACAAAACCGTGCGGAGCAAGAAGAACCTAGTGTGGCGAGAAGACCTGCAAAATTCTTGGCCGTGCTAGGAAGTGGCACTACACGTGACTACACGGCGAAGGAGCTTTGTGTGCTTTTGTGTGGCGAGACTCGAGAGTAAGTACTTGAGTACCAAAAATCGACTCCTGCCATGGACATCTTGAGAGTTGTCTAGTTGTTCAACGAGCTGAAAAGGGCCCTCGACCAAATTATTATTATTATCAGAAATGTTGGGAAAAACATCGAGTTGTCTCGGGACTTGCCGCTTGCTTTTAAATTTGAACAACGAGTCTGAGCTCGACAGCGCTCACCTCTTCGTGGCCCTAATTCTTCGCATAATTCTCATCAACAGAGGGAAAGCATTTCGCTTCAGTGCGAGTGTCTACTAGTGCTCTGTCTTTGTGCTCGTATTTCATGCTCACGCCCTTGGCTCAGGCTAGTAAACGAGGTTGTTCATTGCCAACGACCCTGTGTGCGATCGCAATTGAAGGCAAAGGCACAACAATATTGAGTCGTCGCTACGCTCTGTAAGTATTGTCTGCTTCAAGAATCACACCCTGGCAAGACATTAAACGTTTCCTAGGATTTCATCCGACTCTTCACCGAACTGTGACCGAGTTGGTATCAACAAACTGCCCGTTGAGATCCTCAGACATATCATCATCCACGCCGCGAACGATCCTCACAGGTACATATACGATGCACCGTAAGTACATCATCGTTCCTGAACATCCCATCTATATGGGTTGGATTTATATCACCCACGTATCTCATCTATGGAGAGAAGTTGCTCTGACGAACCAGTCCCTCTGGATAGACATCATCCTCAACTTTGGACGGACCTGGGCGGCGGAGATGATTCGAAGGAGTGGACCTACCGCTGCTATTTCCATCCTCGCTGCCGGCTGCAGAAAGTGGGATAGCGATATGTACGAAACCTTCGACGCCATCGTACCTCCCATGATGAACCGGGTAGAGCGGCTGGAGCTATGGGGGGATTTCGAGAACCTCAGACACATGTATGCTCGGCTCATGTCCACACCAGCTCCCGCTCTCCGGTCACTACGCCTTTCAAATGCCCCGCACTGGCGCGCAGACGACGAGCTTGATTTTAATGGATTATTCGCGCGCCACACGCCTCTCCTTTCGACTCTCCGACTCGATCGTGTCGCGTTTCCTGCAACATCGTTCTACCTGTTTGAGAATCTCAAGCACTTCGAGTTCTATTCGGGAGCGAGTGACATCGATACACATCCCTCTCCTGCCGAGCTTGTCACTGCGTTGGCGCACATGCCGTTGTTGGAGACCCTGTCGATCACAGGATATGTACTGTGTGAATGGAGGGAGCACCGCAGCACATTACTTTCGTCTCAGCAGTTCGCAACCATAAAACTTCCCAACCTCCGTACTTTTACAATGGAAGGCCACGACCATGTTCGTGATTACATGCGTCGCCACATTGAGTTTCCTGCCTCATGTGTTGTTTCAGAGGAGCTGATATTGTAATCCTGATTAGTTGATTGAGCTGTCTTAACCACCCTACCTTCTGATGTATGGCTATGAGTCGGTACCCAATATATTTGCTTGCCCTTGGACTTTAAAGTTTACGATGTTTTGTATTCGCCCACCATTTCGCGAAGCTTGGAATGTGTTATTGATCCAAAGCTTGAAGTTCTCCTCGTCGATTTCTCATATCGTTACGGATGCTACCCTCAGCACTTTATATCTATAGTACGGAAATATCATATCACAGAAGAGGTCGGAAGCCCGTCGGAAGGTGCTTTATATAAGAGGTCGCGGGGTAATATGCGTGTACAGGATATTGAGACATGCATGAAGCAAGCCTGAGAGTACGGTAGGTGTCAACTCAATGGGATGATTCGAGAACAGAAACCAACTCGAAATGAAGATAAATGTGAGTACATGTATCCGAGGCTATACTGTCGTTGGACCAGTGTTGCAAATGTACCCGGTTATGCAAAATCGCGATCGGGATAGCATCCCCTCACCGGGTGGCCTCGAAAACCTTTATGGGTATGCGGAATCCCTATCCAACATCGTATGCAAAGTATGGAGTGAAGAGGAGGGATGTACAAGGTATAAAAAATCGAAAACCGACAAAAACGGTCCGAAGGCTTCCCGCGCCAAGTTGGCGCGGAAAGCCGTTTGCAAAACTGGGCTCATCATCGTTGACGATGGTGAAGCGCGTCCCTCATCTCAAAATATTCGCGGACTACACAGTATCCCTCTCAAGATGCTATAGTATGTGTGTGCAAAACACGAAAGCGATTTGTTGAGTTACGAGCGACCAGTGAGCAAAACGGAATTATTTTGCAACACCGGTCCAACGACAGTATACAGTATCTCCCAAAGGAAGAATGATGTAAAAAAATTGTTGACGACGACCCAAGAGGAAAAGCCACACGAAGTGGTAGGGTTCGCGATGACGAATCTATCGCGAGCCACGACGTCGAAAAGCTCGGATTTCAAGTTCAACACGAGTCCCCAGTTCTGCTTCGCTCTACGCTGCAGTCCCTCGGCCACGGGGAACGTGTCTCTGCAGCCCACACCTAGTGACCATCCTGGCTTCCTGATTGTCTCACTGAAATGGGTACCACACATTGGCCATCGCAGTCGGGTTGCATCCCACTTTACGATGTGGGTATCCAAGTCAATATTATAGGCTGGAAGGCAGGGGAGGCCAGTGTGACCTGCAGGGCATCTTGAAGATGCACGGCGCGATACGAAGCAGTACGAAAGGAACAGTTCAAACTGAAGACAAGCCATCGAGGGTGATGATTACCCTGCTAGCTCTGCTCATGAGCTGGGGATGCGTTGCAAGGGAAGCATCCTGTGTGAGATGAGAGTCGTAGCCTTTGGATCGTCGTCGTCGAAGATCAAAGAGCGAGTTTCAGTGGCGTGCGAAGGACGTACGTCGTCCGCGCAATGCCGTAGAATACCCACCCACTGCAAGCCGCTCCTCGGCTCTAGGAGAAAGTATCTTTGGGCCTAACGGATTACTGAAAATGAAATATGATCTTGTTAAGTAGCACCGTAAAAACGTATACACGAAGGCATTTTCGACCGGACGTGAAACAACCTCTCGAAGAGGAAGAAGGGATGGAAAAAATTGAGGCGACGACAGACCAAGAGGAGCCGGCTGGGATTGCTACTCGGTAGCTAGATTCGCAGTCAAAAAGTGCGAGCCACGATACTGACGACAAGATACCTGCCCACACCTGTGTAATACAGAGTCCCGTGCACTGTGGGTCACTGCACTACCTAATCAACCCGCCTTCCCCTATGTCTCGGAACACTGATGAAAGGTCCTTCGAACAGGCATCAGAGTATACGCCTTCACGATTACGAAGGCAATATATACTACCCTCCTGAACAGAGACCAGCCACTGGATGTGCTCCGGCGCATAGGATCACAACATCGAGCCCGGTTAGCTACAGGTGCACTTCAGGTGCGACAATGACGGCGACATCTATTGTCAACAAGACAAGGTGTGGTAGAAATCTGCCATGAGATAGAAGTCCTAGCTTGATCCAGCTCACGATAAGGGATGCGTGCCAAATGCAGCATCTGTGCGTGGAGAGTTTCGTGGCCTTTGGACTGTCGTCGTTGTGTGCAAGACTGGAATGGTGTGGCGCGGGAAGGATTATGGGCGAGTAATTTCGAGCTCCGCTTTGAGCATTCTCCTTCCCGTGCTCATTCCGGTTCACACCAACTTCTGAATTCCACTATTGCATTTCCCACTCGCCGCTTGGCGAGCCGTTTCAGTCTTGTCTAGCCCGGCCTAGCCCACGAGAATGACCTCAACGTGGCTACGGGGCGGATAAGGACCCAAGCCGGTATATAGGTGTGTTATATGCGCTGCCACGGTCTCTCAAGTCTGCTCTTGACCGTCATCATGTCCCCTTCTTGTTGTCAGCAGCCTTTATCTGATACCGAACAGATCGCATCTCAAGACACCGACGTACAATCAGACGATGGATGTAAAGACAGTTGCTGCTTGCCAAAGGGAGGCTCAGATGAAGCTAGCATGCGTCACGTCCTTGTAGGCGCGTGTGTTCCCGACGGCAAAGGCGGTTGCGAGAGGTCGCGAGGTGCGCAAGGATTAGGATGTTGTGCGTCTGGGAAAGATGCGTCTTCTGAGGGTTTGCACTCCATTGCTATGCTTCAATTGTAGCCAGCTAAAAAGTCGCTTCTGAAAGGCCAATGTTGCGTTGACTCGAAGCCCGAAGTAGACGATTGTGCCGAATGCTTGGTCGAGCCAGATACAGCATGCAAGGACGGCTCTTGTGCCGATGTCGAAGCTCCGTCCTGTGGACAAAGCTGCTGTGGCGATTCCGATACGAAAACGAAAGGCTCGTCTACGGTTTTTGGTTTAACCACATCGTATCAATAACATTCAAGTTTAACAGATTCGTGCTGTGGTTCCGAACCTTTCGTTGAGACTCAGCATAATGGCCCTTACGCCGCTGTCGAAACTCCGTCTTGTGGGCAAGGCTGTTGTGGCGATTCCGACATAAAGACGAAAGGTTCGTTTACGGTCTTTACCGTATCCATACCATATCGATGACACTCGTTGGGCAGATTCATGCTGCGTCTCCGCTCAGGAGGACGCCAAAGGCATCGCCAACTCACAGAAGACGCCCTGCTGTGCAGTCCCCGAAGCTGTCGCAGGCTCTCCATCGTGTGAGAAAGGATGCTGTGACGATAACGTGAGCGAGCCCCGCGGTGAGTCCTTTCGACTGGTCACGTATACTTTCATTCCTGATGTTGGTGGCCACTGTCACAAAAGACTTCAAAGGACTTCCGAAATCCTCCTACGAAGAGAAGTGTTGCTCTGCCATTGTAGACACGTGCTGCGGTGAAGACAAAGAGTCCTTCTCTGGTAGTGTTGCTTCTTATTCCTTATCTTACTTGGGCTAAGGCATTTTTTCTCATGCAGATGAGAAGCCATGTAAAGATGCGTGTTGCTCCGAAAAGACAGCGAATACCGCCTCTTCTAGTTGCTGTGCGCCGGGTAAGACATTTTTTTTCTCCTATATACATCTTTCAACTCATTCTCGTATGTCTCCCAGTGACCAATGAGAAATCTCCCCAGGGAGGCTGCGGCCAACCGTCCACGTTGCAGGGTGTCCGTCGCCGTCATGCGCCTACAAACGAAATGAACGGTGCCTCTTGCAAACCTCCCGCACAGAAACGTCGTCAGCACCATCACCACGGCAAAGACAAATGCGGCATACAAAGCACCTTCGGCCGATTTTTCGAAGCTGCCTGTTGCTGTCTCGTGGACTGGAGTCGCAAGACTCCTGGCGCCTCGGTTCATCACCACCATGCCAAACGTTCCTCACACCATCACCACCCCAAGCGGTCGCCCAATCATGGACCCGTTCACGGCGATATCACCAGTGTCGTTCGCTCCCCAAACGCCTTTGTCCAGAACGAAGCCAATCTTGTCGAGCTTGGAGCCTCGGAGACCAAGCCATTGGTCATGACGGTTAATGGCATGGATTGTCCGTCCTGCGCCGCAAGACTTACCAAAGCGCTCCTCACTATCCCGTCCGTGAAGGACGTCAAAGTCAATAGTTTTACTGCCCAGGCATCGCTCGTATACACGGAGGGACTGGTCATCCCGGAGGAGATAGCGAAACGGGCGACAATGCTCACCGGGTTCGCATGTGAGCCGGTTCAGGAGGTTAGAGCTGAAGGGAAGAACAAGATGATGCGGATTGCGGTCGTTCAGGATGTTGGTGTGAATTGGGAGAAGTCGGCCTTACCTATGGGCGTTACGGTTAGGATGATGAAGCCTTCTCCATCAGGCATGGTCCTGGACGTCGAATATGACTCGTCTGTCATTCAGCCTCGTACCGTCCTCCAGAACTTTTCGAAGTGGGGTGGAGAGTTTATTCCGATTCCGAAGCAGAGAGTCAGCGAACAAGCCTCGAAGGAACTTCGGATCCTCTTTCGTCGCACAACCATCTCCGCGATACTCTGTATCCCCGTCCTAGTGTTCTCATGGGCCCCTCTTCCCGACAACCCGATGGTTTACGGCGGATGCTCGCTCGCCCTCGCCACCCTCATCCAGTCCTTCATTGCGGCGCCACTTTACTCGGCAGCTCTTCGTTCGCTCTTCCTTCAGCACATTATAGACATGGACTTGCTCGTCGTTCTGAGTTCGAGTATCGCCTTCGTCTTTTCGGCCATCGCGTTCTTCCTCGAGGTCGCCGACCATCCGTTCTCGACTCCCTTCTTCGAAACGTCTACCTTGCTCATCACGTTGATCACCCTCGGTCGCCTCATTTCAGCGTATGCCCGCCGCCGCGCTACATCCGCTCTCGACGACGTCCAAACTCTGCAGGCCGACACCGTTGAGCTTGTTGAAACTGATGGTACCGTCACGACGATCCCTGCCGAACTCGTTCACAAAGGCGATATACTTCGTGTTCCTTCGGATACCCTCGTCCCTACGGATGGTGTAGTACTCCGTGGTACAAGCCAGGTCAACGAGTCCTCCGTAACCGGTGAATCCATGCCGGTCGACAAGCATGAAGGCTCGAAGTTGACTGCGGGTAGTCTTAACCTGTTCGGCGTCCTGGACATGACCGTCGGCCGCGTACCCTCTGACAATACCATCTCCGACATAGGCAAGCTGCTACTCCAAGTGCAAGACTCGAGGGCTCCTGTGCAAGATCTCGCCGATCACGTGGCTTCTTACCTTGCGCCCGTCATCCTAATCATTGGAGTTTTGGTGTTCGTCGTGTGGTTGTTGGTTGGAGTTTTTGTGAGGAATGAGAGTTCGAGTGAAGCGGCGATTGCGGCTTTGAGATATGCGATTGCAGTTCTAGTGATCTCTTGTCCGTGTGCGTTGGTGCTCTGTGTGCCGATGGTGGTGGTGATTTCAGCCGCTGTGGCAGCGAAGGAAGGCGTCTTGTTCAAGGTCAATACCTCTAACATCGCACCCTTTCTACATGATGCTGATCCTCAGAATTCAGTCGGTTCAGGCCGTGCAGTATGCGAAGAGCGTCAAGGTGGCCGTGTTCGATAAGACGGGGACCCTCACTACGGGCCAAGTCTCCGTCGTCGACTCTCAGATACTTCGAGTCGACTCTATCGGCTTGATCATCGAGCTCGTATCCAGCAGCCGGCACCCTGTTGCCCAAGCAGTCCACAGGCACCTTCGCGAACAATACCCTGACGTCCCGGTCCTTCAGCGACTCCAGAACATACAGTCACTTCCTGGAAAAGGCCTAGAGGCACGTTACGATGGTTCATACATCCGAGGTGGAAGCGCTACCTGGCTCAAGCTCCGCGACGATCCAATCATTTGTAGGATGAAGGATGAAACGTTTACCCTCTTCACCGTCACCGTCGCCGACAAGCTCGTCGCCGCATTCGGACTCACGGACACCATTCGCCCAAGTGCTCATAAAGCCATCCAGCTTCTGAGAAACCACGGCACAGACATCTACATCGTCAGCGGGGATGAACAATCAGTCGTTAGCGCTCTCGCCGTTAAGCTCAATATTCCACAAGATCATGCCATAGGTGGATGTCTTCCCCAGACGAAGCAGGAACGCGTATCCGCACTTCAGTACCAGGCCCCGAACGCCGAGGGCGGGAGGATCAACGCCAAGACCAGCCAGAGGGCGAGAGTAATGTTCGTCGGAGACGGAACAAACGACAGCCTCGCCCTCGCCCAATCGGACGTCGGAGTCTCTCTGAGTTCCGGAACCGATATCGCCCTCAGCGCTGCCGATGTTGTCATCCTCGACTCCGACACGGCCGATCTTGCGCGAGCCATGCAGACCATCCTGGGGATATCTGAGGGTGCCGTCCGCCGTATTATGGTCAACTTCGCGTGGTCGCTGGTGTATAACGTCGTAGCGGTTCTGTTGGCTGCGGGAGCGTTTGTAGAGTTCAGGGTGGCACCAGAATACGCGGGTTTGGGCGAGATGGTTTCAGTCATTCCTGTTGTGTTGGTCGCGTGGAGTATGTGGTTTCTCAAGAAGTGAGTGGCATCATGATATTGGTGCACAAGGTAGGTGATCCATTCGGTTCAAGTTGTTTTTTCTTGTCTGCCTCTGTACCGGTAATATTCTCGCGCCGCGATGTGGCCTTGTGTTTTGATAAGCTCGAAGACCTGTTCTTACAGAAACCAATGATGACCTGCCCGGAGCAGTATTTACGACATGTTCCCCAATGATGTGCGGATATGTACAGCGGAGGTCAGCGGGGAAGCGACGACGTTATGGGGAAAGTCTGGGGAATATATGGGGAAGTTAAGAGGATCGCTGTGCCACACGCGAGCCCATTGGCTCCTCGGCACCTGTGCTTCAAGTCCGAGAGTCCGCACTCTGACCCCGCAATAAGCCGCTCGCCACCATTGTGATCGTCCAGCCCACAAAGCCCACATCCTCGATCTCGATTCGCTCTAGTTGCACCCAAGACTCCTCACTAATACCTGCGATATACAAAATATCGCCCTTGGTAGGCCTTCACGAATATTCATCTGTAAGACCATTGAGCTCATAATTTCCCCCGAGTTAGGAGTCCGTTGAAATATATCCACTGCCTCTGGATAGCTTGAAGAGTTCGACGCAATGCGAACTCCCGAAAACGGATCATATGCGGCATAGACAACGATGACGCAGATCACTGCAATATTCTAATCCGGAACACCGTACGGACTTGTCAGAGATAATTTCACTGAAATTGGCACAACTAGAACACCTCGAGGTCTCGTGCCCACCTCGAACCCCCACCAGGACTATGCCTGCTGATGTTTTGACAGGTCCATTAAGGGCCGCCCTCTGTCATTTGCACTCGGGTTTCGCAAGAACAATTATGCTCGGGCCAGTTTATGAGCGTATAGGTTCCAGCATGGACATATGAAAGCCGACTTGGAAAAACATAGCTCAAGTCGACGCCCTAACGCAGTCCTACCTTCCCCGACTATGGCTCTTCACGAACGACCTCACGCCATGCAATGTCTTCTAATTACTCTGCTCTTCGTCCTTTCAGCCTTTGCTTCCCCACTCTCAGATTCTGCTCCATCTTCTCGCTGGAAGCATCTCGCCCTCAAGACTAAGGGCAGCTTTCTCACCGATATCCATGGTGCTCCCTTCTTCTGGCAGGCGGACACAGCCTGGGAGCTCTTCCACCGTCTCAATCACTCCGAGGTCATCCATTACCTCGACGATCGTCAGGCAAAGGGGTACAACATCATTATGTCTGTCGCCATTCCGGAATACAAGTACGTCTTTTCCGTATGCTTGATCTTTTCTTTCTGCATTGCGACTCATGCGACTATTTTCCTATTTCTTTCCTCCCACAAATAGCGTGACACTACCCAACCGTAACGGGGATCTCGCTCTCGTCGATTTCGATCCAACGCAACCGAATCCAGCGTACTTCGACTACGTGGACTGGTGCATCGACCGTGCCACGGAACGAGGCTTACGTATAGCGCTCGTCCCAACCTGGGGTCGATACATCAACGGAGGTGTGTCTCAATCTTTCTGCGCTCCTCTCTTCTCGCCAATTATGCGTGACGGATAACTCACTTCTCTGTTTTCAGGATGGCATGGAGACCCGATCCTCTTCACGAACGAGAGCACTGCGCAGATTTACGGCACTTATATCGCCAAACGATACGCTGGTTTACCCAAGATCCTTGGAGCCGACTCGGATAGATGGTGGCCCACAAACCTCACGGAATTCACTACGGGCCAAACGATCAACACGAATCAGACCACGGACGTCGCTGGCTTGGGCAACATCTCCTACTCCGACACTGCTAATATCTGGAACGCTCTTGGGAACGCCATGGTCGACGTCGAGGGCGAACTTTCCTTCATCACCTACCACCCAACGTCGCAATGGCTTTCAAAGTTCGCCCCCGCGACTGGATACGCGCAGTATAAGGATGTAGAAGGCAGTTCGAGATGGTTGAAGATGGATGCGGCGCAGAGTGGGCACGAGTGCATCGACTCTGTCCCAGGGGCTGGCAGATGGTGTGGAAGTAAGAATTACATTCCGGTGGAGTTGATGTGGAACAATTCGCTCGGGGAGAGGCCGATCATGGACTTGGAGAATCACTATGAGGGAGGCTGGTTCAATATCAATCCATCCTTGAGCGGAGGAAGAATCTGGAACGAAAGCGATGTCAGAACGGGCGCATGGACGGCAGTACGTGTCTTTCAATCTTTCCGCATTCTTTTTCGACACTCGAGTAAAACGCTCACGGATTTTGTTCCATAGGTCTTCGGTGGCGGAGCCGGTGCCACATACGGTGCTTGGTCCGTCTGGCAGTTCTACAACCTCGGCCTCGGGCAAGATAATATCACAGTCGCCACATTCCCTCCCTGCAACCCTTCCGGACTCGCCCCGAATGCGACTGCCGACAACACGGAGTATACTACCTGCGTCAATTCGACTGAACCCGTCGCCATGACTTGGCTCGACGAGCTTGTGCTCCCGGGCTCAGCGCAGATCCAACATCTCCAGAAGTTCATTACCGACCCTTCGTCTGCGCCAGGACAGCACTACTTCGACCGTCTTCCGGATAACTTAGTGATCAGCACGGATCTCGGCGAGGACGAGGGGAGGTTCAGCGCGACGAGGGATAAGAAGGGACGATGGGCGGCCGTTTATAGTCCACAGGGCCTGTCTTTCGGCGTCGACGTGGACTATCTGGCTGGTTTCCTGAACGGAGGATCGAATGCGACGTTGAAGTGGACGCAGAAGTGGTATAGTCCGAGGAACGGGTCGTTCGTCGACGAGGAGGAGGGGTGCGGTACAGATGTCGCGACATTTACACCGCCGACTAGTGGAAGTGTCGATCATGATTGGGTATTGCTATTGGAGAAGATCAAACTTGACTAGTTACGAATTGATGTAGTGCCACGCTGTTGTACGAAAGATACATACTAGAATCGACCTAATCTCTTGCTCACGAAGAGGAACGATGCGGAACTTTCTGATTCTGTTTACATTGTTTCGTGATTGCAAAGTCTGAATTGTTTGTTACTGAAAAATGAGCGCATTTCAATTACAAAGAGGCCTTCAAGTCATGAAAACATAGCGAGGATCCGTATCAGCGATTTCCTCGAACTTCCCAGCAGGCGCGAGTTTGCCCTCCTGCTCCAGCTCATCCCGTTTCCTCTGGTGTACTTTATTCTTCCGAGTAAGACGACACCTCAAAATAAGAGCGGCTAGAATTGTCACGACGAGACACCTTTGAGAAAGTTGTGAGAACGACCCGCTCGTGGTATAAGATAAAAAGACCTCATACCCAGCGACAATGGCATGAGCCGTGCGATAATTGTCCTCGACGTCGAAATAAACCTGGGGTGAAGCGCTGGATAGTCGATGATCTGTTCAGCGAAAGAAGGCCGAGAACTCTACAGAAATATACGTACATAGATACACAGTTCGAGACTGAGACGATGAAGGCCGTTCCGACCCCTCGCTTGGATGTGGGAGAGAATACATTCGCAGCCCAGCTCCTACGAGGTTTAGTCAGTTTATGACTCGCGTATAAAGAGAAAACCGATGACTCACATAACCAGGGGAAACAAGCTATAAAGACCTCCTATGGCCAAGAAGATAGAGAAGTACGCAGCGCCTACACTCTTCTGCGATGCGGTGGCGAGGATAATGTATCCAACCAACGCCACACTAGCAGAGGCGACGATGTGCCATCCTCTGTCATGAGTGCGATCGCTGTGCCAGGCTTGTAGGATAACGAAGAACCAGCCGACAAGGTAGGGTGCCACAGTCATTCCCTGAGCGTCGATATCGCTGAAGCCTAGTTCGTTAATCAACTGGACAGATGATTGATTTTGTCAGGATATTGTGTTTACCAAATAAAGCTCGGAGGTCCTACCGTTGGCATGAAGTATGAGATCGTGGCGACCCCGACATTGACTGTAAAACATTCAGGTTTCAGTTAGACCGAGAATACCAGAGACGAATAACTCACAAGATGCGTAAATCAACATCAACAACCATGCGCTAGGGTCGATGAGAACGGCCTTCACGCCCTGCCATCCTGTCATTCCACCATGCGATCGAGGTTTGTGATCTCGGTTGACTCTCGCCTGCGCGATGGCTCTCTCGCGGTAATTGAGAAAGGTGGCGGAGAAGGGGAAAGACGGCAGCCAGATGAGAATTGCGACGGCCATTATTAGGTCTGGGATGGCTTCAACCTATATTCTCGTCAGACGGTCCGGATAATGAGCTCAAGGTTCGTGTACGAACCAAGAATAAAAACTGCCATCTGTAGGGGATCATCTTGTCAGAGGAGTAAGGAGAACATTTGAAATGAGAGCTTACCCTGTCAACAACGAAGTATGCCCACGAACAAGTCCGAAAGCCAGAAGACCCTGCGTTGTCGCTCTTAGCTCTTGAAATCACGGCGATTAAAGATATACACCGAGACGTACTCCTATGGCACCAGGTAGAGTACCCGTCATGCAGAGGCTAATTCGCAAAGCCAGTTCTCTCCTATACCAATATTAGCATATCTTTACTTGGAGATTTTCTACGAACGATGCCGTACCGTTTGTACCTTGATCAAAGACAGGGTAATATACATTAATACTGACAGCGAAACTTTAACGTTGGTACGCACCAGAACGAAAGGTAATAGATGATTCCCGCGTAGAAGCCGGCCTCCCCAATACCGAGTAGAACACTGACGACACCACTTAGCAAGAGACGTAGGAAGAAGGTAGTTGTATCTCACCGAAGGGTAAGTAAGGCCGCATAACCCTTTGCATATACGAACGATAGGGACACAATCCCCCAGAAGGTGAGAGATAGAAAGAAACTGTACATGTCCAAACGGGTATTAGAGGAGGGCAGACAAATATCGGCGGTATGCTCACAATCGGTTTGCTCCAATATGGCGCTGGAGAACTGGATAATATGAGTGATGGAGCAAGGAGTAAATGACAAAGGCATACTGTTAGCTGGCATCTCTAGTAGACCTTCGATTACAAGTTAGTACCCTCACTTTGGCTCAGGCGTAGTACTCACAATATCCGACATAAAATATCCCAAGTGCAAGCGTCCACTTGTTGTTCGTCGTAATTTCCTGTCGTGTCCAGTGGTAAACAGTCGAACCTCTGGGGATGCATAGGCACCCACATAGTTGTCATTGAATGCCGTGATGACATGTGCATTTCCACTGTAGTCGAACAATTCATCTCAGCAGCGATCTATGCATTCTCATTCGAAGGAGAAAGACCGACATGTTGGTCCTATCTGCAATAGACGGTCAAAGACTGTTACGGGCGAGTACAGAGAGAATTTATTACCAAACTGATTGACTGAAGCGTTGAAAAAATCTCAGTGCAAGGCCTAAAAGAGCGTAGTGGACCTGTAAGAGGACGCACAGACAAAGCTTGCGCGAAAGTCAATTGCATGGTCTCGAACCCGATGATGAAAGAGACACACCTTATGACCACTATACTCAAGACACGGATATCGATCTTCCGACGAACTTGACGCTAACGGTACGACAATATGCATCAGTCATGGGTATTAGCTACCAACCACGAAAAACCAGAGCGCACCTCTTCCTCGGGGCTAAACCGTACGGTCTCTGCATCTCCATGAACAGCCTCTGAATAAGAAGGATCTAATGGCGAGAAGAAGTGCTTCCTGGGCGGCTTGTCACCCAATTGCGACTGACAATACGTCCCTTCCTCTCTTTGGATGTCTTCTATGACCTGAGCCTCATCCACCACGGTGGTCTTCTCGGCGTCATGCGCGGCTGGTAATGGCATCATAGGTAACTCGGGCTGGGAGGGCATGGCGGCGACAACGGTGCGGTTCAACGAGGGATCGAGAAGGAGAGCAATCGAGAGCAGCGAAACCTTGGAGACAGTCTCACCATATGTTATTGTGGTAGGCAAACGACTGTTATACTACATCTCACAGGCTGGTAGAATTGGGCCGAAGTCATATTCCACGGCCTGAGTATGTGTATGCCAACCTGACACGATCATCTGCCACAAAGGAACCCCGAGCGGAGAAGGAAGTCGTACTATAATAAGAATGGCACCAACGAGAACCGAACCTGAATGTCCAATCCGAGACAGAAGAGCGTCCAATAAAATCGCAACAAAAGTCCATTTAGAGTCCGTTGATTTTTATGTTCCGTTTGCAGAAGGTTGTAGAATCAATCGATGGACCAGGTCACGTTTGCGACGATGCCGTCCGATGGGGGCGCGAAGGCCGCGAAAGCACCGGGAGAGAGTCCAATTCTGAACTCGTCGCACGTAGGGCAGAAGTCGACGATCTGAGCGGTCACGGTGGTACCATTGGCTACATGCAGATGACCATGAGAAATTATGACGCGTGCGTAGATCGTACCAAGAGGGATGGGATGGAAGACTGCGACGTACAGGTGATGGTGACGTTGTGAGTACAGATTGGATTACTATGGGTGATAGTTAGTGGAGCGTCGACATGAGGGAACGGCTAAGCAACTCACTCGTTTGGGTTGGCGGTAGCACCGCTATAAGTTTCACCTCGCTTTAGATTGGTCGAAATTTTGAAGAGGGAAGACAGAAACCACGTACGGGAAGGTACTAAAGATGGTCTGAGACACCGATGCGACGCTCTGGTCGCTTGTGTTGGTCAACCCACAGGCGCCAAGGCCAGGTATGAAGTTGAACACTACAGAAAAAAGTCAGTCATGGATGCGAGATAGTATGATATTTCACATACAGGTGCCAGTGTTGTTCTGTGCCGATGCTAACGCAACTAGAGACGCGACAGACGCAAGACGAGTGAAAGAGAGCATGATGGCCTGTGGGACAGTCGATGGGGGAACAGGACGAGGAGGAACGGTTTTAAAGAATGAAAGGAGAAGCTAGTATTGCTCTCGAAGGGTTGATGAGCACACTTCGAGAGCTGAATGGCGCATTTCCACATTTTATATCCGCGCCTTCAGCATCTGCCGCTGCACCCAAGGTTATACTAGGGAGTTCTCATCCCATAAATGGAGCTCGCGCACATCATGTAGTCACGAGAAGGAAGGAGCACAAGGGTAAGAAGTGAGAATTGACCAGGCGAAGTACTTGGCGAGCAATAAACAGGAATTGAGCTATGCTTGCCACAAAGCACTTCGCCAACACCCACTGCTTCGATAGATGCATCCATGAGGTGCGGCGAAGTTTGAGAGAAGGCGAGGATCTTCTTCCACCTTCGTGAATCTCGGTCAAAGTACCTGGTCGTGGCACTAGAGCAGGGCCCACCGTATGGTGAGTATGATGATGAGATCGAGAAGAGCGAATATGAAGATGCGGCAAGAGACGGGTCCAGCATATCGTCTTTTGAGCATGTGCACGGCGGTGTAGCATGAACTGCTCGCTTCACACGATGACACATAGCCACACAGCTGAAGGTATACTATGAGTTCCGAGCGTTTTCAATAGGACGGATGCAGCGAAGATGCTCCGTTTGACTAGTCGTCGGTACATAATCAAACGTTAAAAGCAGGGTGGCTTCCCAGACGACTGAGATGCGACTCGGCGCTGGCAAGGTTCTTGAGAAGGAGTTCGTGGTGGGCAGTGAGAATCGTCGAAGAGGTCAGCAAGGTTTGATTATCAGCATGACCAGACTCGTGCTCACCACAAACGCAGCATTCGACGATTTGAGCGGGGCACGGAAAAACAGTCTAGGAAACTCTATCTCGACTTCATATTCACCTCCGATTCCTGCCATGACCGCTTCCACCCCCTCCACCAGCTCCAGCCGCCGCTGCACCTCTCTTCATCTCCTCCTCGTCCAACCCAGCTTCTGCTAAGATGCGTTCTAGATTTTTCAAAGTGGGCTTGTACTCGTCTGGAAAAAAGGAGATAACCATGGGTAAGCATAGGGAAAAAGTGTGACAACAGCGAGAGGGACGCACTGTATCGTTCCTGTGCCATGGTGAACCCAACACGACGAGCTTGTTTACCCCTATCACCGCTAGTCTCATAAACTTTAGCATTCCAATGGTCGCCTACAATCATGGAGAAGCTCAGTATCCCAAACGAGACACAAGCAAAAAAGAACAAACGGTATACTCACGAGAACGAGCATAGAACGCTGCTAATGTCTCTCCCGGTAGTGGCGTACTGAGCATTTCCTCCGGTGACCGCGCCGCATCCTTGGCCACACCCATAAACGCCTCGACCTGCGGTTTTAGCGCGTTCTCTAACTCCATCTCTTCCTCTTCCTTCTTAGTTGCATCCGTGACCTCTGCCGGTGGCTCAGGACTCTCTTCCCTCTTCTCAAACTCTCTCTTCTCATCTTCTTCGATTGCGGCCTTAATGACCTCCTTTTCTTTCCGTTTGGTCTTTGACGTCGTCGCCACCACACTCCCACCCTCACCCTCAGACTCACGACTAGATGAAGTATCATCATCCCCGGACTCGTCATCTTCGTCATCATCACCACTGCTAGATACTTCCTCGCCTTCAGGAGGGATCAGGACCGCACTTTCTTTGAGACAGACGTAGCGATCAAGTTTGTCCAGTTGAAGGGTATAAAAGTCGTCCAGCGTATATTCGCGGGATCCACGCTCGTATATTCCTCCGTAACTAAAAAAAAAAGTACGCAACGAACAGCCGTCAGTCCTAATTCAGCCGGAGATGCTCAGAGTGAGGCTATGTGAGGAGGGATGGCTGCGTACATGTGAAGTGTATTTCGCAGGACCGCCAACATCGCGTTATATCTCGGGGGCGGTGTGCTTAGACTTGGATCTTCCGGATCTGCGTCCGGGTTCGCGGATGCTTGTACCGAACTCGGTGTTTTCCTTGGTGGTGGTCGTGAGGATGTGACCATCTGAGAAGAGCGATGGGTAAAGCCGGCCTCGTCAACAACGGAAATGATGAGATATATGGCATATGAAGGGGATGAATACGGACTTGGCTGTCACTGTCCGAACCACCATCGCCACCACCCTTACCCCCTTTTTCGTCCTCGGAGGCACCTTTTTTCTTTCTTTGTCTCTTCGGTGCTGAGCCCGCGCCTTTCTTCTTCGGTTTCTTCAAGAGCATCGGTATCCATTTCCCACTGGCCAACTGATACCCATACCTGCTCCTTTCATATGAGCGCAAGAAACTGATGAGCAAGTAAACAAAAAGACCACGTACAGATCATTATGAAACACGCTCTCCAGCGTCTCCTCATTCGTATCCTCATCCGTCACACCCCCGAACAACACCCCCATATTTTTCGCAGCCCATAAGGCCATGGTACACCCCGACCTCAACGACGGCGCAAAAGCTGTTGTGGAACGTTTCCGGCGTTCCCATTTCGCGGACAGCGGGTTGAAGGTGGAGGCGGATTTCTTGGTGGATGGACCGGCGGATTCGGGCGGTGTTTCGAGAGTGAGTCTGGAAGGAAAATGATAGGAAAAGTTCAGTCTGTGATTCAGGATTTTGTGTGTGGAGTGGAGGGATGAGAAGGGAAAGGGAAGGAAGGATGTAGAAATTGAGCGTACTTGAGAAACCAGGTGTCATCTAGCATTACGCCAACAGGGCGCTTGCCTTTGACATATTCCTTACAATATCCACCTGAAAGGTGCGCGATTGGTATTAACACAAACCCTATCGTAAACCAATCAAATATGCATACCGTGCAGCACGACACCATCAGGAGTCGGTAGGAAGGAGAATCCGCTCCTGGGTCTACAGCAGATAAGAATCATGCGTGAGCAAGTTCCTGCATACGAAACAGACTGGAAACTTACGGGGGTTTGAGATCATCCCTGAACACGATCTCTCGCCACTTATACTCCTGAATATCGAACACCCAGAGATCGTTCATGTACTTAGCTGTGGCCCAGTTGAGTCAAATTCATCGGCTATGGTTACAGGAAACTGAGAACGGATGTCTACTCACTTATGTATCCTGGATCGTTAAAACCACCGAATAGCACGACGTAGTGTTTCCACATGGCCATCCTTCCGACCAACGAATCATTAAATCAAACGTCTTCTGTTAGGACCATTGGTATGTGTCTCACCGATGACCAGATCTTGCAGACGGCCTTTCCTTCGTATCTATACGATCCCATGAATGTGTGGCGATGTCGAAGCACCAGAAGTCGCGATAGTGATGGAAATTGTTCTGTCGCAAAGACGAGAACTCTCCTCCTGTTACCAAAAAATAAGTACAGCCGAATATGTAAGAAATGCGGGTCAAAGGAAAGGGTGAAGTCAGACATACCGAAGAGGAATAGTTTACCGCCGCCAATAGGGGATCCGACGACTGCATGCGCGGATCGAGGCCCCGGACAAGTGGGAGAGACGAACTTGCGCCACTCGTCCTGCCGGGTCAGGGTCATCGTTAACGTAATGTCACAGAATCTAATGCGATGACCTCCATTCAGAGGAGATCCATATATACCTTCTCCGGAGTATACCTGAAGACGTCGTTATAGAAGTGCTACGCACAGGCGAGATAATGACTGTTAATGGGTGGCCCCTGAGAGAAGATTGAGGCGCCGGTACTACTCACAGCATTTCCGTCCTCGCTGAAGAACTCTCCGCCGATGCACCAGAGGTGGTTTCCGTTCGGACAGGGTGTGAGCGTCGCATTGGCGCGTCGACTGGGAGGGCCTTCGACTAGTTCTTCGATAACAGCATGCGATTCTTCCCATTCTCTCCGCATCTACTACAGCATCCATTCAGCCAAACTTCCTCCTACGACATTCCCGGAGAAAACGAAACGAAAGAAGAAAAACCAATGGAAAACCATAAAGAGATGACGCAAGGGCTTTGGAAGACACGGCACGTAAGTACATACTCAGGCGAAGAAACTCACCATATCCAGAATCGCCTCCAAATCCTGATCGTCATCCTCCCCCGCTCCTCCCTTCGTCTTCGATTTAACATTCTTCTTCGCCTCCTTCTTCTCAACTTTTTGCGCCGCCTTCACTTTCTTCTGCTCTTTCGCGCTCGGCTGCGTGCCAGTGTTCCCCGTCTTCTTCTTTTTTGCCGCCATCGTAAGTTACGCTTACCAGCTGTGAGCCGGCGTATGCAGTCAGACTCAGAGCCAACCAGAGTATGCAGTCAACTTGAAGAAGCGATCGAAAGTCGGTATGGCTCGACTGTGTCGATATTTTACAGGTGCCTAGGGATAGATATAGTTTATTGCGATACTTTAGGAATAACCATACAGAGCACAGGGGAGAGGAAACTTGAAGTTAGACGGGTGGCGAGTAGTCTCGAAATCCAGACTCAAAGATCGAGGAAGACACTCGCTGTGGCGAGGTAGAAGGCTTAGGCCCCCTTCGGCAAGCAGGCTTGGGTTGGCTTAGGTTGGGTTGGGCTCGGCCTGGATAGTGACCGGCTGAGGTCATCGAGTGACCTCTCCGTGACAACGCGAGAGTAACACCGGTCGTATCAAGCCGAGTTCCTTGGTACCTTGCGTCTCTGCCGTTGTCGACCTTGCGCTCGACGATGGCCTCGACAACATCGTCGTTGAATGAGGTCCACGCCTCCAATTGAGGTGGGGATAATTGCGTGGAGACACGCTCATTTATCTCTTCATTTATATGATTTTATTGTAAGTGACTCCGGGAGTGCCTTGCTTGCGTCTTGGACATGCTGAGTGGGTGTGGACTATCGCGGGCAGAGTCCGGACAACCTCGGAAAAAGCACCATGTCACGTCGGACAAATTTGTGGAAGGGTGACGAAGGACCCGATGTTCCGACGGGAGGAGTGACCGAGGTCCACTTGGGCTCCCACGCGAAATGGCGGGGCAATCCAACCCAACCCAACCCAAGCCTGGCTGCCGAAGGGGGCCTTAAATCGTAAGTTACTCGGTGCCACGCGAGCGGAGATTGCCGAGGAATTTCAACCTTCCGCCGGCGGGTCCTCCGAATTCACGGTCTCTTCCAGCTTCTACACCGACCCTAGACACACCCACGAACACTTGGTAAGTGTACGACGAAACAAGGCTCCAGTGAGTGTTACATAGACCCGAAATCGTCGATGCGCACCGACTCGTGTGAGATGAGCATGGCTTGTGAGCAAGGTCGAAGAGAGTCAGTACTGCCCAGGCTCTTCAAGTAAAACGCCTGTGATATATCCTCAGACCAGATCTAGAGATGACAGGCAATATAGATACGGCTTCCCTTGACCCGTTGAACCAGTCACGAAAGTGTGAGACCCACAGTGCCACCAAGCGCCTTGATACTTATACTGCCCTATAAGTAGTACCGAAGCATGGACCCGCAAGAGGGGGGCAAAAAATTGCACAACAGCCACAAGGATGCTTTGCGGCTACAAAACAGCTACTAGCCTCTAGGTGGTTAAATAATCTGAATCAACTTGCAACTTGAAGGAACTAATCACAGAGCAAGCAGCCTCGTGTGGCCACGCCCCGCCACATTGATTAATTACGTCAGCATTTGTTCCCACGCACCGACTTTTCACCAGCCACTGCCAGTGGCCAGCGCTCCGACTCCTACCGACCTCTTCCTTCTTTCCTTCAATGATCGGACTCGATCCTTCCCTTTTCTAATCCAAGTCTAAGTTGCTCTCTGAGTCTATCGCCTCTCCGTCTTTCTGCCCCGCGGATCTTTGGAAGTTCGTTTTCTGATACTACTTACTGCACTACCGTCTACGCTACAAAACTAGACTCGTCGGGCCCGCACTGCCAGTGTGCATATTTGCACGTCTCCGTCCTCCGCGCTCGACTTCCTCCAGCCTAAATCGAACGGATAGTGCTACTTCTCAGTCCTCATCACCGCAGTACTAGTCTGACGCAGAAGACACATGAGCATCGCGCTCTTTCTCTTCTCGCCATCCTCTTAGTACTTATTACTTTCCATGGAGGACAGAACTTTTACTATTAGGAGAAGTCGTGCTCTGTCTGAAACTTGATCATACTGTTCACTACAGCTAGCAGTAGAGCGAGCCGAAGAGAACCATAGTAGTAGCCCGTGCCTCTCGCGATGGGAGGGCCCGGGGTTCGGTGACAAGTCAAGTTCTTACTCCTACGACCATCGATAATCGCTTCGTCATTACTTCAGAGTCGGATGGTGGCGTAAACGCGTACTCACCGATGGGAGGGACTCGATGCCCGAACATTCAACGGCCTGTCTCGTGCTTCGAGTCACCAATCGAGGTTTCCTGAAGGCGGCGGTGCCAGGTCATGGTGGAGGCCATAGCCACTTCAGTCTTTAGGCAACTTGAACCAACGCTCGTCGTCACGTTCTCCCCGCGGATGATCGATGAAAGCGAACAGTGAACACACATTGACAAGTCGGACATCCGCGTCCTCGGAGGAATCCAGCACGGAGTGCCACTCAACGTCAACTCAAAAGTGTGCCTTCCTAAGGCCAGAGGCTCAGACTCAGACTCTGAAGCCGCACAACCTATAGTATTATCTATGGTACGTCTTTATTTCTCTCGACTCTGATTTGATTTACTGATGACGCCGTCTCTGAGTCTCACACCCTCGTAGAGTACAGTACATCCCACATGGTGGTTTGTTTATAATCGCTCGGTCGTCAGCGAGCCTGATCCGAGGGTCAGACTCAGAAGACTCGTACCTCCCTCGACCTCTCGCCTGAGGTCCGCAATGTTATGCGCATCAATGGGTGTTCGTATAAGTATCGCCAACAGGGTAGCACCTCGAAGCTTCTAGATCTCAGGCCAATAATGAATACAAATACTGTATCATCGAGTAAAGTGTTGGATTTTCGTGAGCGAGAGAGAAAAGCACGAGAAATCTGAGAGGGCTTGCAATCACACTGAGCTGTGAGGCTGGCTTGTGTTAGGGCAAACCGATGCCCTACACAGGTAAACACATCATGTATTTATACTACTGTACAATGTATCTAGAAAATTCTACAGTACTCGAGAGATTGGCAAAGCAGCTGCGCTGCTGAGTCATCCGTGTCCGTCGAAAGCTCGCGAAAGCTCTTGCGACGTCGAGCTGCAACTAGCTAAATCCAACATAAAGCATGCACTGGCAGCACCTCCCGTTCCCGTTCCCGCAAACTCATCCTCATCGAAGTCCTTGCCTCTGCACTCGTACTCGATTATTAGCTTGTGGGTGGTGGTGGTGGTGGTGGTGGTGGTGGTGTGTGGCGGACGTCACCCCCCGATAAATATCACTGTCACTGTTAGTATTAGTATCGGGCCCGGGAAGGGATCCTCACGCGCGGATTCGCCAACCGCCAACCGCCAACCGCCAACCGCCTTCTGGTTTATCTATGGACCTTACGGTGGCGTGGCCTTCTCGGTCAAGACTGCCAGTGTCAATGCATGTCGACAGTACGCTCGTGAGTTCTTGAGTGGGTCGTTCGAAATGTTACTCATTCGACTAAGTATGCTAATACTAATAGTGATGCAGCAGTTGTTGTTATTGAACAACGAGCGTCCAAAAATGGCTTCTTGTGAGCATCGTAGGCCGTCACGGTGGCGAGCCCGCGGACACCAAACTGAACCTCGTGAGTTGAAAGTTCAGATCTCCAGAGTACGTCCCTCTTCTTTTCTTTTCTGATTCTCGTTGGACACTGGCAGCGGACGTACTTACCGGTTTTTTTTCTAGAGCCGCGGACTCGGACTCGGACTCAGATTCAAACTCTAAATCACGATGCTCGCGGCTGCCAGTGCTAATGGATTCGTTCGGGTATATGGACCTGCAGGAGCTACTACTTGGTGAACAGTGTGAGTACTGGAGATACACGTCTTCATTGATTTTTTTTTCTTTGACCCCGGGCCTTAAGTAGGTTAATCACCCAAGTGCAGTACCCAGTGGCACCGGGGAGACTTCGAAGCTGAGATTTGAAAGCGGGCCAAAACGTTAACGTGACTGTCGATATATCGACATCCACTCGATAGCCTCGAGATCTGACGAGGTTCGACGTGCAGATTTGCAGAAGGTTTGTCTTGTCTTGACTTATGATTAATGCTGTATTAAGGACCTGACAATGATTAATGAGCCGCGGACTCGGGTTTCGATTTTGCGTGCAATGTTGACGAACTTGAACTCTAATCTAGTGACCATGAGGTTCTCTTCCGGCGTAGCTCTCATTGTGAGCGGTATTATACTGTTACTAACTCGCTCAGCGGACGTCGTCGCCCTTCCTCGGAGTCGTACGTCCACCGGAGACCTCATCGTTGCTACCGACTGACAATTCCTTATTAGCGCCCTCGCCACCACCCATAAGTAATTGCGAATCTCAGAACCCAACGAACATAACATCTACCCAATTAGCTCAGACCGGCATAAGTGGCAGAGAATCCCCACGTCGACCCGCTCCTCCTCCCTCCCTTCCTTCCCCAACTCGAATGCCAAATATAGACCCTTGACCCACCGAGCCGGCCATATACGTAGCTTCCTGCACATGCGGTTTTAACGGACGATGCGATCATGGGCTTCTTCGAGGGACTGAGTGAATCGCGGAAAGCGTACTTCCACAATGGGGATTCAAAGCGTCGACCGTATGGAGGACGAGCTTCCTGAACGGGATAATTGAACATTCGGAACCTCGGGTGCGTGGTCATTGCTGTCGGGCGTTGCATGGAGGTGGCCATTTGCGGAAAGAGGGAGTGGGGCGGCCTGGAAAGGGTATGTTGGGAGGGCAGAGGTGCAGATCCCCGCGGGACGACATTGAGAACTTGAGCGGGGGTGCGCTGCTCTCACTGTCAGACTCGGAGTCGGGGGCGCTACCCGAACTGATCCTCTGTCATGAAACTCGAATACGGGACTTTGTCTCGATTTGGGGCGTGCGATCACGAGGCGGCCGAGGGTGATTTCGCAAGTGTGACGATGTCTTGTCTGTTTTTTTTTCTGCTGTTCTGATTGCAATTGGGTGGTTGGAAGCGAGGAAGTGGATTGGAAGAGGTGAGTTCGTGAAGTGTGATCAGCTCCTCCGGTCTTCTGATCGTCCCAGTCTTCGTACTTATACGCTCCTCCGCTCGTCTTGCTCACCTCGTCTTTCGTCGACGTTCCTCTCCACGTTCATTCGTATGTTTTCCTCCATCCGTCTCTCTAACACCAAACACTGATATATATTTTACAGAAATTTATACCATGCAGCCAACACAGCACGCTCACTTCCTCCGCTCCAACAAAAGCCGCTCCTCGGACGGCACCGACACCGACGTCCTCAACACCAACACGGATATCGACCGCGACGACTCCCCGTCCAGCACCATCGTCGACACCGCACGTAACTCGCCCTTCTCCACCTCTACCTCCTTCTCCTCCCACACCCTCTTCACAGTCAATTCCTCCCTCCCTTCCCCCGCCTGTTCTTACGCGGACTTGTCCTCTTCTCCTCAATGCGATCCGGACGTCACTTCTCTCCATACTGTTTCCGATTCTTCTTTCGCAGTCGAGTCCGCACAGGTTCAAACTCAGACTCAGACTCTAAATCCAACAATCGATTACCTCGCTGCACGCATCTCGTGGCCTATCGGCGTTCCTCGTACCATGCTCGGCGTCTTCAGGGCTCAGCCTTTCTCTTCGTCCTCTTCCGCCACGGATGGAGAAGACGAAGCGAAACACGTCTTTCGAGCCGTTCCTGTTCCTTCTGTCGTTGCTTCGGACGTGGTCGATGGGGATGGGGATGGGGGCGGGGAAGAGGGAGATGGACAAGGAGACGGCGAGACACGTGAAGAGAGGAAGTATTATAACCTTCGTCGGGGGCGCGGTCGACCTCCGCCTTGCAGCAGCACCAATATCAATACCAAAACTCCAGGCCCGACCTCGACTTTGACGAATAAACGACCTCGTTCGCGTTCTCCTTCTCCTTCTCCATCCCCTCTCAAATCTACGGCTGGAGCTGGTATGCCCTGCTGCGTCAAACGTCGCCGGAAGGGAGACCTGATGCAGGAGATGGAGGATGAGGCGGAGACACAATTTCAATCGAGGGGGCCTCTGAAGATGTTTAGTGGGTCTTTTCAGGTTGATGTGCGTGGGCTGGGGTTCGGGAGGGGCGAGGGTGGGGGTGTGAGCGCGATTGAGGACACTGTGAGGGATGTGGAAGAAGCGGGGAGGGGTAGTGAGGAAGGAGGGGATGGTGTTCGTGTTTCTATGGAAGATGTAGAGGTCGAGGGTGCGAGTGCGATAGTTCCGACTCCGATGCTCGGACACGAACATAACCCTTCCTTATCCCAGCCCCTATTCTCCAGCTCCAGCTCCAGGAAGGCTTTCCCACCAAGCGTCCTGAATCCCAACTCCACTTCCTTCCCGTCTTCGCCTCCTGCGCCTGCACCTCCGTACGCAGTCCAGTTCTCGGGCTCGTCATATGCTCCTCATGACAATGGGTTCCCGTATACTACCTGGCTTCCGTATCCTCTTTCTTTCGACGGACACGGACACGGACACGGACACTTCATGCACCCCGCTCAAGCTCACCCCTACACTCATTCTCATTTCGCGTCATTTCCCAGGCCCCCAGATCCTCCGTCCACTTCCACTTCCACTTCCGCCCCTGCTCCCTCTCCAATGCATCTTAACGACCTCAACCCCGACCTCAACCCCGACCCCGACCCATCCACCTCGAGCTCCCAACACGGCCTTCCTCTCCCTGTCCCTTTCCCTTTCCCTTTGACTTACTTTCAACCCTCGTACAATAACGATAACGATGATCATGTTCCGGCGACTGGACTTGGACTTGGACTTGGACATGCGCATGCGCATGCGTTCTATGGGTTCTTGTCGAGTCTGGATGTCTTACCGCCTGCGCCTTCGCAGCTCTTACAGGGACTTCCTGAGAATTTACCGCCTGCGCCTTTGCAGGTCTTACAGGCACTCAGGCTCCCAGAGCATCTACCACCACCACCACCTCCTCCTCCTCCTCCTCCTCCTCCTCCTCCTCCTCCGACGACGACGACGCAGACTAGAGAACTCAAGACTTCTCAGCCGAGGGGCTCGGATGGGAGATTTAGGTCTGTCGCGAGGGGGACTGGGGTAGGTGCTGGCGGTGCTGGTGGTGCTGGCACGACTTTGACGGTGGACGAGGAAGAGGCGAGTGGGGGTATGCATCTATCGAGGTCGGAGGCGCATCTATCGGGCTCGAGCTTTGAGAATGGGGAAGGTTCGTTTTTTTTTTTCGTTACGTCGATCCTTAGAGATTCTACATTCCTCGTCCTCGTCCATCCATCTTACACGCGCGTGCTGACTTTCGTTTGATGTTTTCTTTTATGCCCGGATTTATACAGATGCACGTACATCGCCTTCTGCGCCCGTCCCGGCATCCCATCCCTCTTATCCTCATCCTCATCCTTCGTCTCCATCTTCACATTCTTCCCCTCCATCTTCACATCCTTCTCCTCCATCTTCACATCCTTCCCCTCCATCTTCGCATCCTTCCATCCCTCGAGCCCCTTACACTCGACCGTGGCCAAAACAAAAGCCCTCTACGGTCCCTTCGACGCCTTGCGAATCTCGTCCGAGTCAGTCACAGCAGGCTCCGGTCTCGATATTCCCATTCCCATTTTCGGCCTCGTCTCTGCCTTTTGAACAACGAACCCAGCAACACCAGCACCAGCACCACCAGCACCACGGCCACCAACACCAACACCACCACCGCGAACACCACCGCGAACAGCAGCAGCAGCAACACCAGCACCAGCAGCAGCAGCAGCAGCAGCAGCAACACCAACAACAACAACCCCGCCAACCCCGCACCCGCCGTCGTACCTCCTCCTCCGGAACCGGCTCACAGGGATCCGAGCCCAAAGTCTACGAATGTCCTCGACCGGGCTGTGAGAGAAGGTTTGAGCTGAATAATGGGTTGGCGTTGCATATGAAGAGTCATGCGAGGGTTGAGGAGAGGGAGAGGGAGAGGAGGGGTTTGGAGGCGAAGGTGGCTTTCGGAGCGAAGGAGGCGAAGGCGGCATTAGAAGCGAAGGAGAAGGCGAAGGCGAAGGAGGAGAAGGAAGGCGATGCGATGGAGGTTACAGTGGAGATGGAGCCGGTTTTGGGGGTGATGGTGCGAGGTAGAGAGAGTAGGAAGGATACGGATGTGGCGCCGAAGGGTTCAGGTGGACATGGTTTCGACAGGTTGGAGGATTTCGAGAGCATGCCCGTGCCGACGGACGCTGGTAGCCGTAACGCGAGGGCGAAGATGTTCGAGGGTTTCGGCTTGACGGTCGATACGGACGTGGGCCAGAACGACGTCTCGGGCTATTCGACATCCGCGTCGGGTGGGCCTGCCAGTACTACTCCGCCGTCTTCTAGTACTTCGGAGTACCGTGGCTTTGCGTTTGATTCGATGGGTGTTAGTGTTCCGTCGAGCGCGACTACTGCGACTTCGATCGGGTCCTCGTCCTTCGATTGGGCACACTACCTGCTAGGGTCGGACGCCGTGGGGTCGAAGATGGGTATTGGTATGGATATGGGCATGGAGACGGAGATGGAGATGGGGAATGGTAGTGGTGATTTCGCGTCGTCGTACACGTTCGACTGCGAGGGCTTGGACTTGTCGCAGCTCGTGGGCCCGTCGTTGTTGATGCCCGAGGCGCTCGAGGCGGCGTTTGGGGCGTTCGTGGCTCAGGCTCGGGATCAGGGGGGTAAGGGCACCACAGTCGGCTCGAGCGAGGGTGTGTTGGACGCGATTGGTGCGGTGGATGCGGTGGATGCGACGAATGCGATGGATGGTTCGTTTGGTGAGGTGGAGAGCAGGACGCATTCGCTTTTTGCGGTCTCGGAGGATGTGTGTGCGAGGTTGAGGGCGGAGGAGGCTATCACGGTGCGTACTCTCTTTCCATCGTATACCTCTCCCACTCCCAATCCCTTTCATCTTCGAATATTATGTCAATCCTCACCTCACCCTCCTTTTTATTCTACAGGAACACGCAAACGCAGAAGTCCGGATGTATGCCGCCCGAGCGGAAGCGCGAGCCCGTGCGCTGGGCCCGGAACCTCTCGATCCCGTCTCATGCACACTCTTTCAGCCTCTGAATCTGAGCCAGCATCAGCTCGAACATCTGGCTAGTGGAAGTGGCTCGGAGCGTCGGGCGATGTATGCTCAGGAGACTGCGATGGGCGTTTCGGGTTCGCATTCTGGAGCCGGGTATGGTGGTGGTGGTGGTGGTGGTGAACGGATGATGATGGGTCGTGGTGCGAGTGCGAGTGGGGTTCAGGAGAGGATGATGCTGGGGAGCGAGTATGGGCATGGTGGGATGGCGCACTACCCGTATCCGGCCGCTCAGTCTGGGAGGAGGAGTAGGGCTGGCCCGGGAGGTAGCGCTCGTCGTGGTGACGCCACTGCCAGTCGGAGTCGCAGTGAGCAGACGAGGAGTCGAAATGATCAGACGAGGAGTCGCAATGAGCAGACGAGGAGGCCTCTGGCGCCGAGGCTGGATGTGCCGGTGAGTCGTGGTGGTGCTCGTGCGCCACCTTCGAGTTATGCTAGTGCCAGTGGTGTGCAGGGGTTTTTGGATCCGTTGGAGGGGTTGGGAGGGTTGGGGACGTTTTTTTGAGGGGTTGGGTGGGTTTCTCGATTCGTTTGGAGTTGACTTTGCATCGGCCGTCATTTGACCCGGACGTTGATCCGTTCTCTGTTCTCTGTTCTCAGAGTCATAAAAGCATTTCGCGTTGCATATCTTACTTATCATACCTGGTCGTGTCTTATTTTTCGTCGCATTGAGAATTGTCACATTGACTCGGACTGCATGATCTCTCGCATTTGCATCTGCATTACTTATCATATATATAGCATCGTCTCGTTGTTTGTCTTCACTGGTTTCTCGCATTCGCACTCTGATTTTTTTTTTCCTTTTTTTCCATAATCATCGTCGACGCTGCCACTCTCAACACTCCGAGTTATCGCCATCATTGCTCCCACTCATCGCATCGTTGCTCACGGACCTCTGGCTATCTGCCATCCTTACGTTTTTTCGAGATCAAGTCTTTGTGTTATGGACTCGATCGTGATCGTGAAGTGTTGGTGTTACGACTTCATTTATGTATGTACCTGCATGAAATCCAAATGGACTACTTATTGCGTACATAGTACTTATAGTATCCGCCTGATGTGCCTCGTCATGAAGTTACTTTATGTACTCTACTTATTGTAGTTTTGCGTGTCTCAGACCTATTGACACAGTTGAGCACGTTGAGCTTCTTTATGGGCGTCAATAATCCCTAGCTCTGGGTTCAGACGGCACCGGCATGTCCCTCACCACGATAATAATTCAGCAGTAGTACTACTCACATACCGCTCGGGCCCATTCAGACACCTAAGTACGTGTACACTGGCAGCAAGTACCAACTTGAATGTGATCAAGACAGGCGGGTGCGATAATCACTTATCGTCGCCGCCCGCCTCCGCGCAGATGACATCCTCTTTTCCAGCGTGGCGAGGTCCTCCATTAGCGCTTCGTACCTCCGATCTAGTTCGTCTAACCTCTCGAAGGATGTGCGAAGTCGAGGACGAGGGCGAGTTGGTTGGCTTGTTGTGGCCGTGGACGGAGCCGTGGTCGTAGTCGCAGGCTTAGTCGTGGCCGTGGTCGTAGTCCTGGCAGGATTGGAAGAGCGACGGGGCTGGTGATGATGGTGGCGTTGCTGTTGAGTCTCGGGACGAGGTGGACGAGGTGGACTGCTCGCGTTGTTGGGCTCGCCGAAGACGAAATGGGGAGGTGACTTGGATCGAGGGTCTGCAGTGCTCCGGCGTGCGTTAGCGTCGTAGGCTGAGTCTCTGGGAGGTTTGTGGTTCTTGTGTTGAGGTCTATCGTGATGGTGACTGTGCGGAGGACTGAGTTCAGTCCTCTTGGGTGGACGCGGCGTCGGGACTTCCTGCTCCTGCTCATGCTCCTCTTCTTCCTGCCCCTGCTCGTCATTCATCCCGATAGCACCACCAGCTCCATGTTGGCTCTCACCCTCCCAAATCCTAGAAACCGCGCTCTCGTCCATCCTATTCGCCTGTTCCGACAAGCTCCTGCTCCTGCTTCTGCTCATACTCCCTGACGCCAACCACGGCGAGCTCGGTCTCAACCCACCACTACCGCTCGCACTGACGGGCAACCTCAACGACCAAGTGCCCGTGGCCGTAGTCGGCGTCGCACTCCGCCTCGATAACAACGACATCGCGGAGCCGGGCCTGGGACTGGGGCTCGGACTCGGAGGGACAGAGCTTCCGCTCGTGCTCGTGCTCGCACCGAGAACGATCACCCGCTCCGCGACCACGTCCCGACGGTGTAGATTATCATCCGAACCGTCACCGTCGTCGGGATTCCAGAGCGCGCTGTGGTTGAGTTGAGAGGTGCTGGCGTTGGCACCGCCGCCGGCGGAGAGCGAATTGCCCGTCCCGCCGCTGTTGCTACTGCTGTTAATCTTGCTGATTCCCGCGATCCCACTCGAATCCGCGCTCGAGTTTCCAGCACCAACGTCCTCTCCATCTTCAGCCAGACTCATACTCGACCCTCCGACGATGATATTCTTCCCTGGCCCGATCGCCTTTCCCGCCGCGATATCGACCGGTGCTGGGACGAACCGCAAAGCCTTCAACGGTGCTTTCCCCTTCGAATGAGCACTCCCAGAACCTCCACTTTCCGGATGTCCGTTCGCCGCCCGCATCTCTTTAATAACAGACCTAGGCGTCCTCCCCGACGCGAACACCTTCTTCCTCGCGCTCAGCCCTATACAATCCACCAATTGTCTCATCGCCTCTCGATCCGAGACCGCACGAGCAGGTCGGGGTGCGGTCCCGGGTCCGGCGGCGGCGCTGACCGTACGTCGGATGGTGGACAGGCCTTGGGCGTAGGGGTTGGTGTTGCGGTTGTAGGGTGTGGCGAAGGGTTGGTGTGGCGTGTGTGGCGTTTGGAGACGGCGGAGGGGGGTTATCGGTGGGTGGTGGTGACGGGAGGGCGTGGACGTTCCGATGGTGTTGTAGGCGCCGAGGAATGGCTTGTGAGGTGTTGGGGAGGGATCGTGACGGTTGGCGCGGGGAGTGGTGGTGTGGAGGTCTATGTCTCCGGCGGCTGGAGAGAGTTGTTGTGGCTCGTCGGAGGGTTGGGAGGGTTGACTCAGAGTGAAAGCGTCGGCTTTAGGACCCCATGAAAAACCGATGAAGTACGACGACGCCTGATCTCGTAGGATAGAACCTGGGGGCCTGGGTGTCTCGTGAGAGTGAACACCAGAGGGGCTCAATGCCGGTGCAGGCTCAAGTTGACCTTGATCCGGGATTGAATGTTGCGAGAGCGAGGGTTGGAAGAATGCGGAGAAATGGAAACGGTCGGAAGATGACTTTGAGCGCGACTCTGATTGGTTGAAGACGGAGGATGACGAAGGATCGAAGGATATTTGTGGAACGTCGCCTTCAGGCTGGGCTTGAGGATCGGTATATATGAATTGTGGGGTGTGAAGGCTCTCGGGACGGGGTTCTGAGTAAATAGGGTCAGTTCATTGTGAATAACGAGGTCAGAAATGACCGTTAGACAACAACGAATATAGAACACACGAGTATGCAGGCCCTTCCAACTAATTCCAACGAAAAATCGATGACCTTTGACCTGTTCGGTGCCAGTCCTACCCAGTCGATCCATATTATGGGTCAGTAAGCTGCATATATCAATACCATGAGCAAACACGTCGAAAGCGGTAGAAAAAAAACACAGTACCTCTTCAATAAATGGACCAGCTCCGCAGACACGTCGATGTCACGATTGTCAAACCGCAAGCTCCTTTTGAAATCCATGATCTTCAAATACGTAGTCCGAATATCCTTCGCGAAGAACGGCGCCACACCATAAATCAGCTCATACACCATCGCGCCCATGCTCCACCAATCCGTCTCAACGCCATATGTCCCCTCCTCATGATCATCATCACCATTGACTCTCGGTTTAGAGGTAGGTGGATTGCGGCCTTTTGGAGAGGATGTCGAAGTGGAACTGTTTGATTCCATCTCCATTGCCATGAGTGCCGCTTCGTGAGCTATGAGGATTTCGGGGGAGATGTAGTCGCATGTCCCGCATGGTACGAGACAATGTTGACGAGCGAGTGATCGAGCGCCAGAAGGACGGGCGGGTAGAAGGGGAGCGGCGGAACCGAAGTCGATGAGCTGTACATGAGAGGACGGTGTAATGACGAAGTTATGCGGCTTGACGTCTCTACAAGTTTCAATACCACCAAGAAACGATTAAGATGTGGGAGGCTGACTATTTGAGAGACAACAAACCGATGAACGAAACCCTGCTCATGACACCACCCGATGGCACTGACCATCTGGGGCAGCCACCATCTCAGATCGTCTTCCAAAAGGCGACCTTCGTGGGGACTGGACTCCAGTACATCCCATAGCGTACCTCCTTCGGCGTAATCCATGACAAGATTAAGATGTGACGATGTCTGGAACGCACAAAGCAAGTGAGGCGACCAGACGGAAGAAGTTAGGCCGGCTTGAAGGAGAATATCGCGCTCGAGTTGAGGGTTACATTGCTGTGGTAGACATAGCGGACAGTGTGCGAAGATTGCAGAAGGAAGCAGAGACGAGGTCAGCGAGCTATCCCATCAATAAAAAACGATAGCGGTACTGTTGTCGGCCGTCACTCTCTCCCGAGATGCACCTAGCTATGGCAGCGTCCAGCCCGTCACCATGGAGCAAGCATCAGGCTATAGGGTCAGCTGTGCACAGGTCTCACTAGGATGCATGCCAGCAAGCTTTATATATCAGTTGCCGGACACCCGTAGCCAAAAACCATGTAAGTTCTTGAACATAAAGCGCAGTAATCAGTGCTCAGACTGTTTCGAGGCACGACATAACAGTTCAGATGTAAGACGCTTTGCACCGGAGTCTGAACAATTTGGATATTATTTATTCCTGTGAGACGCTCGATTCCTCTAAAGCGGGTGCCTCTGGGGCCTTGATACCAAAAGAAATGGAATGAATGGAATGTGGAAGGACATAAACACTTACATCGCGCGTCTTGAAGGCAAAGCGTTTCTCGATGGATTTACGTACGTAGACACGACCATCTAGTCTGCAGTTGACAACGTCAATCTGTGAAGTGATGAGAAAGTGTATCAACGTCCGTAATGATCACTCCGCATGAGTCCAGATCTACATACCACAGCGAACTGACCATATTCGAGTGTCCCGACTATGGTGAGATCCTTGTCGGTGAATCTGACCGAGTCAACCTCCTTCGTCTTGGCTGTATGCCATTAGAGACGTAAGTGTTAGGATTTCTGTGAGCACCATACCTGTTTTCCCTATTACAGATTGGCCATGCAGTATGCGGTCCAATGCGAGGCCTTCGGCGTCCTCGTCGCCCGATTCGCACTGAAGAAGAGCTGCGAGTCGATATTTGCGTTTCGCCCATGAAGGAGACATTCATGGGAGAAGTATAAAGTGAAAAAGCTCCAATTAAAACGGGTATACAGGTATGGTTGAAAGCAGCACGGAGAAATCTTGAGAATACTGAAATAAAGCTACAGCTTGATGTTCGAGAGACCGTGACGTTGCACACCAAGCAGTACTTGGATGTCAGTAGTGATACAAGAGTGAAGAGACTAGAGTTCCCAGATATCCACAGAGATAGTGTGAGTGGTAAGAGACCGCGTGGGTGGGTAGAGACCGTGAAGGAAGATGATGGGTGGGAACGAAATCTGGGAATCGCTAGTTCGACTTGCGATCGACAGACGGGACACAAGACCAAATAGAGATCAAAACAGTACGAATCTCCGTGAGAGATAAGATAAGATTGGGGCAGAGGGTCATATTCCGCGGTAATCCCCACGCCACGCCACCTCATTGTGCGGTCTTACTGCCACGGCGGCGGAGGCTACTTTCCGGACACCCCAAACAGGAAACGGAACGGAATACTAAAAATAATGGCATAGGGTTGGGTTTCGAGATGCATGTATATAATATTGAGCGTGCCCTGAATGTCAACCGATTCTTTGTGTTCGGGTTTGTGACCGGTATTGGGTGAAGGAGCTCAGATTAATAAAACATAGTGCCTGGTAGAGAATAAAAGCAGCTTATGCCGAACAGGATACTGTAGTCATTCCGGAACTTTGCGTTCCGAAGCCGGTATAGGATCCACAGAAGGGTTTGTTTGGCAAGGCCGGAATTCAATACGGCACTTTATGACCAGCAGGCGCGGTAATTTTCGTCGAGTCGATGCCAAAGATGAAATCAAGCCAATGAAATACTTTTTGTTCAGCAAGATGTTCAGAAGAAAGTAGACCTTTTGTCTGGTGTATGCGGAACTCAATACCGATTGTTTCATTACCGCATTTGATTGAGTGCACGCGAAGCAAAAAGAATAGAGCAGACAAAAAGATTAAAACAGGATCTGCTGTACATAAAGATCA